TTTTCCAGCATCAAACAACACGGTATATTTGAGCAATTTGTTCCAAATTGTTGCAGTTGAGAGCTCTGGAACAAAAGTAAAATGTCGATTCGCGCGAAAAATATCGCTTGTGGAAAACCGGCTAAGATCCATACTTCAAAGGCGCGCTGTGTTAATAACGAAGTGAATTATTAATATTTGATGATGATCAATCGAATTTTTTCCCTACTGAATACTTGGATATTATTATTAGGATTCGTAATGTAACATGCGATGACGCTGCCGTTTTTATGCGGCATGGCAAGATAACATCTGAACTTTCTTCACGCAACAGAGCATGAAGTGTTTCCTACCTACGCAAATCAAAATCTAGTCTTATGCCTGTATTCAAATTAAAAGCTCACTTTCGTTGAGCGCGAGAGGGGAAACGTGTTATTACTGATGAATGAGATAGGCCTATCTTGATCAATGGAAATATTTAAGGTAAAACACTTCATGGAAATCACGCTTTATTTATTCGTGTGGAAATTAAATACCTTCATGGAATCGTTAGGAGGTGATTAAGATCTCAAACTCAATGAGTTTGAGCGTCAGTGAGCGTTTAGAATACATGCAGGCGATAGTGTTAAAGTGTTATCCGCTTTTAAAAGTACAATTTACATATGTATGCACTGCATGTGTCCGTATAAGTCTAGATATTATACTGATATTATACTAAACGTTAACGTTAAACTGGTAGGGCATGAGTGAGGTTTAACAATGCTTTCCAGTTATTGCCTGTTGTCATTTTCTTTATTTTTGCAAATTTCTGTTTTGCAAATTTCCATCTGGGCAACATTAATGGTTCGTAAATTAAGTTATTATAAGGTAAATCTCTGAAAATCAAACCCCTAAGATCTCCCATTCAATGAATTTGAGTGTGAGTAATAAGCTTTTGAGAATACAGGCGTATGTATTTCTGTCGTTACTTAATATTCGCGCATGATCTCTGCCGGAATCTATAAACAAGTATATGTTAAATCGAAATGCACTCCAACATAATTATTCTCCACGGTTTAAGATGTATAAATTCTACATGCAGCAACATCCCTTAATTAAAAATATATCTCTTCGATTAGCTAAGAAACAAGCTCTCCTGAAGGACATGCAATCATTTTCGATTTATCAAATATATTGCAAAAGCTTAAAATCGGGTAAAGTATCGAAGAAGTCTATTCCCCTAAACACATAGGCACTTTAACTAGAAATACATGCACTGTACTGTCTAGAAGTAGCCTAACACTGCGGTTGCGGTTAGGTTCGGTCGCGGTTCGGTAGCGGTCGACCAATATAAACCGCAGACGAACGCAAGGGGGGTAAAAAAGAACACGGTTCGCGTTTGCTTCCGAACGGTATGTTATGAACAGCTAAGAACGACAAAATGCACAATAAGCAAATCAAAAAAAATCTGAAGAAATGTCTTTCAGACCGAGTTATAGGCCGAGGTTTAACCTCCGTCTCACCGCCGTTCGACCTCGGTCTGACCTTGGTTCAACCGCGATCAGACCGAGGTTTGACCTAGCTTATAACAGCGGTTTTTGTTAGGTTATTTTTAAGAGAAAGCTTTAAGCTTTTAAGCTTTTTTGCCGGCTTTCTTTAAGTGTGAGAGGGGAAATGTGTTATTACTGATGAACGAGGCTGGCCTTTCTTGATCAATGGAAATATTTAAGGTAAAACACTTCATGGAAATCACGCTTTATTTATTCGTGTGGAAATTAAATACCTTCATGGAATCGTTAGGAGGTGATTAAGATCTCCCACTCAATGAGTTTGTGTGTCAGTGAGCGTTTAGATTACAGGCGATAGTGTTAAAGTGTTATCCGGTTTTAAACGTACAATTTACATATATGTATGCACTGCGAGTGTTCGGATAAGTCCAGATATTATACTGATATTATACTAAACGTTAACGTTAAACTAGTAGGGCATGAGTGCGGTTAAACAATGCTTTCCAGTTATTGCCTGCAAATTTCGGTTTTCAAATTTCCATCTGCATGGGCAACATTAATGGTTCGTAAATTAAGTTATTTTTATGCATGCATGTAATGAGATTATCGCCTGTATCACATGCACTCATTGAGTGTGACGTATCAGTAAATCTTGTTAATGCTGACTCAATGAGAAAGTTTTTTCTGAATAGATGGAAAGATATAAAATAAATCACTGAAAATCAAACCCCTATTCGGCTGGGAAAACCGCCATTGAAACGTTGTATGAGAAGATTAAGATCTCCCATTCAATGAATTTGGGTGTGAGTATATTAGCTTTTGAGAATACAGGCGTATGTATTTCTGTCGTTACTTAATATTCGCGCATGATCTCTGCCGGAATCTATAAACAAGTATATGATAAATCGAAATGCACTCCAACATATTCTCACCGGTTTAAGACGTATAAATTCTACATGCAGCTACTAAAGTGAATCCCTCAATTAAAAATTTGTCTCTTCGATTAGCTAAGAAACAAACTCTCCTGAAGGACATGCAATCATGTTTATACATAATTTTTAGTGAAAATAGCATGCTTGCATGGATAACTTAATTAAGATGGTAAAATAGTAAAACATTTTATTGAATAATTAGAATACTCTGCTATTTGGTTTCTCCCGCACAATCATTCCCCATCTATAACTTAGAATTGGTGGGCAAAAGCTGTTATCACTCAAAAACGTTATAACCAGTTGTTTGCAACCCCTTTTATTATAGTATTATATAGAAAAATATTTATACACTGTAGCTTATCAACCATAAAATCTAAAGATCCAATCCATAATTATGTTTTTATGTATTCCTTTGTAAAGAATTATATAACTTAGCTTATCGTGCATAATCGGGTGTTTAAGATGAAAGAACGAACAACGCGGGTATACGGACAAGGTCAAATATTGTTTATAAATTGTATGCCAGGATCCAGGCGTATATAGCATAATTTATTTAATAAGGACTGTTTATGCTTAGCATGTTAACGAACTATAGTTGCATGTGACGATCTTGTTTTGGCGAGCGCACTTAGTGTTGACACAGTCTGAGAGAAAGAAAGGGGAAAAATCCTCATTACCTGCATGGGAAGACCTTATAATTATAGTTAACATACATCATCAGCATATGATAAATTTATAGGCATTTGGCCACTTACCACGGCCGCAAGAATGTCAGAATACTGCCAAAATTCAACCAAAAACCATGACCCCGTTATACCTAGCCTAGTTAATAGGCATTCTACCGCCGTTAATTAGTTATCCGGAAACGCTGAGAAACGCTGAAGCTGATCGGTAATTTTCGTGACGGTTCCAGCCGAGAAGCCGCCTTCTTCTTCTCGCTCCTTCCCCCACTTTTTAGTCTCCCACGATCTATATTCTGCGTGGCCACACAAAGCAGGGAGCGAAAGGCCTTGATTACTAGGTTACGTTATACGTACGTCTAGAGGTGGCTCTGTATATATTCGACGAAGGAAACCTGAATAGGGAATGCAATGATCTTGTTGAGCCACGGATATATAATATACTACGACATGCGCGCCTGATAGCGGGCTAACTGTGCATTCACCGGTTCCGGCCGAGAAGCCGCCTTCTTCTTCTCGCTCCTCCCCCACTCTTTAGTCTCCCACGATCTATATTCTGCGTGGCCACACAAAGCTGGGAGCGAAAGGCCTAGATTACTAGGCCACGTTATACGTACGTCTAGAGGTGGCTCTGTATATATTCGACGAAGGAAACCCGAATAGGGAATGCAATGATCTTGTTAAGCCACACATATATAATATACTACGACGTGCGCGCCTGATAGCGGGCTAACTGTGCATTCACCGGTTCCGGCCGAGAAGCCGCCTTCTTCTTCTCGCTCCCTCCCCCACTCTTTAGTCTCCCACGATCTATATTCTGCGTGGCCACACAAAGCAGGGAGCGAAAGGCCTAGATTACTAGGCTACGTCTAGAGGTGGCTCTCTATATATATTCGACGAAGGAAACCTGAATAGGGAATGCAATGATCTTGTTGAGCCACACATACATATATATATATATATATATATATATATTATATTATATTATATATATATATTATATATATATATATATATATATATATATATATATATAGATATAATATACTACGACGTGCGCCTGATAGCGGGCTAACTGTGCATGGTTGACTATGTTCCTTGTTTATAGTATCATTAGTATATGAGCTTACAGCAATTTATTCAACTATTTTCTGTAGGTTTCAACGAGGACTGTATCTACTCTTTCAACGAGCATTCTATTCATTTCTTATTTCGCATGTAGTCATGCAGTATAGGAGAAAGAGCGCGTTTCCGTCACTTCCTGAAAACTGTTCGACCATTTCTTACATGCACAAATGACCCACAGCGTTATAGCTATACGCCATATAATTTCAATGCAGCACCAGTGTAAATTCAATTTTTTTAATAATATCGATGCCCTTGTTTTAATACTCCAAATATAGATATTTTAGAATTCAAATTCACCAATGCTATTATTTTTCGAAGCAATATACAAAGATGTTAATAGGCCTATAATATAGCTATATGAATTTCCCCCCCATGAGTTAAACGCACCCACCCGCATCTACTTGCGTCAATGACTTTCGACGGAATTACATGATATAGGCTCTTCTTTTTCCGTCATGCATGCAAGCGACATATATTGCCCCATGCAGTAATATTGAGCTATAGCTATGTATGTTTACTTTATGTATGTCTTGAAAATTCACCCCGCAATGAATATGTTTGTTTTGTATTTCACTTTATTCCGTATTCTCTTCTGCCTGTACCTAGAAGAGAAGCCGTCTGTAATCGTAGTGTTTCAACAATTTTTTCCTAATATGTTAATTGTTTGCTTTGAGGGAGACTGTTCAGCAACACTGGTTGCATGCGTAAATGCCATGCATGCACGGCAATGTCTTTTCCGCACAAAGAAATCATTCCGACGTATAACGATAACTGTAATATAATGACTTATATAAAGGGGGGAAAACCTTGTCATTGCCGTCACTTCATCTACTGAATCTTTTCACTGAAGACTGAAGCCACTAAACATTGGAAGTCGAACTGGATTGCAAAGAATGTAAGTATATACGATAAATTTTATACTCGAATTTTTCGATTCATTTCTCTCTATACAATATTAGTATATTCATTCAGTTTACGTTCATCTTGAGTCTATAATTTAAAGTCTATCATATAAAATTAATGTAATCTTCCATGGCCGACAACAGTGCATTATATCAATTATTTTAATTACGTATATGTTTGCAAGTATATAGACCATGGTGTAGCTATATAATTTTTAATTCCTGTATCTGGCAGGCTTTTCTATGCGTATATACCTATATTGTTTGGCTTTAAATTTCTCATCTTAGAATTTAGTGGAACACTTTATTGATTTTTTTCCCTTCAAGGCATTTCTTCTATAATTATTATGTCAATTAATCATTTATAACTATTCTCTATCGATCGTCTTCATCAGTGCAATAAACTCTTCAATACACTTTCCTCTTTAGACAGTCCCGCGTATATACACGCCTCTAATCATATGCATGTATAAGATCCTTTATTAAGTTTGGGGTATCCTTATACCTTGTTAAGAACGTCGATCGAGCTTCACATGTATAATTTATCTCCGTTTTAGTATATTAATAATGCTGCATGTGCGCGTTCAAAGGGCGATTTAATTGTGTTGCTGCTATATGAACTAACGTATTGATAGCTTGATGTTTTATATTTTAGATCATCATGAATTCTAAATTTATAATTTGCTTGTTTCTTGTGATTTTTACTGTCTCGAATGCAAACCTGTTGAACCGTCGCGTGAACTCAGGTATATATTTAAAGGAAAACGTCGTGAGTATATATTCATCAACTGAATTTTCACTAAAATAAATTTATGAATTACAACAAAATATTTATAAAAATATATTTTGTTGTAATTCAATTATTCTTCTGTTACTGCATTATTTTTGATACCGGCTATTTTGCTTATAGACCTTCAAGCTCAGTGCGACGGTGCAGGCTTTAATTGTTGTGATACCTGTCCTACAGGAGATGTTGTGCCTGGATTGTCATGCGATGATAGTAAACTTTGCTGCTTGGTACCCTGCGCAAAGTAAAAGGTATTATTTTTTATACGCCTATGTACAAAATATTTTTAATCCCTTTTATAAACCCATATTTTTTCATATCACTGCATGTGTGCTCTTTATTTTTTATTCTCCGATTGAGATCACGCAAAAATTGAGCAATTTACAGTTTTTCAGTAAACCATGCGTTTGAAAATGACTTTGTGGTGTATAATTGTAAAGTTTAGGCTATTTAATTTATTATACTGCTTGCTGTGCCATACGCGTGAAAGCTACTACAGCTTAAGACAAAAAAATGTTATAAATATATATATTTTTTAATTTATTGATAAACTTTGCTGCCCCATCTAACCCCATGAATATTAACAAATATAATATGTCATTATAATAATCCTTTATATTTGAACTATATTAGGGAATATAACTTACATACCTGTTTTTTTTACTTCCTGTTAGATAACGAAATTGCTTAAAGTTGACGTGGAAAGTAGGGTTATATAGAAAGGTGGACAAATATCTTCAGGCCTATAATATTATATGCCATGCATGATTATTTGAATTAGTTGAAACTGGATTAGAACTTCAATAAAGATTGGAACATCTATATACTGGTGTTGTCTTGTCAGGTTTCTTCCCAAGCCTGCCCTATGTATTATTTGGTAAACGGAAATCATCACCCCATCTAGAAATGAAAAATATGTATAACTGCATAAAAAATTCTGCTTGAGCTAATAACAAGTTTGCTAGTTGCAAGTTTGAATTCAAGACTCAATTTATAGATGTCCCCAATGACTCAATTTATTTACCCTTCGATAACAGACGAGCTCTTAAACCATAGACAATCCAAAAGACAGGGACTGGGAAAGCTATTGTTTTCGCGTGCGCTCTCCATGATACGGCTGGCACATTTTGCGGGCTCATGTAGAACTCTATTTTCGAGAGCAACAATGGAGACACTTCTCAGCAAAAAAAATAACGCACGCGCAGTTATTTGGTGATTTGTAGCTTCAATAACGCAAAGAATATATTGGTAAAAGCAATAGGGTTAACAGTTTATTGTTTTTTGTTTAAACTATCTTCAAATGGGCCTCTAAGTAAATTTAATAGGCACATATTTCGAGAAAAACAATGGCGACACTCGGTTTAGCAAAAAATACAACGCACGCAGTTTTTTCTGATAATTTACCTTTTTTAATATAAGACGATGTTGGAAAATGCGATAAGTGCACAGTTAGTTGATTTACTGTGTCAAACATATAAAAATGACCCTCTGAGACTGGGTCGAAGTGATTTTATAGGGTCCCAACTAGGTTCATATTCTACGAGAACAAAAAGAGTGACATCTTAACATCAAAACACGACGCATGCAGTTATTGGCGATTCTTAGCTTTACAACTGAGCGCACAAAGAGGCGGAAAAAGTTAATAGATGTATACCCTGTATTATTTTGTTTACACTATGTAAGACAAAGTTTCTCAATTTATCGAAATTGTAGTTACATGCAGTGTATACAAATGGTGCATACATGGCGATCCTTTTGTGGTTGGGACTAAAAAAGGTTCTTACTGTCGGGCTCATACACTAGTCTGCATGTAGTTACAAGTTACAGTTTCTGTCCTAATGCATTTTTTTGTAATATAAGATGCTATTTGTAGGTGGTCAAAGAAAATTTATAGCTTGGAATTCAAGTTACAGGGTCCCAAAAAACTACCTGATTTTACGTGCGTATATTTTTTATGCCAACACTTCTGGAACTGGAACTATGAGCATTGTTTACACAGTCTCAAGATGAAAAATGAAAACGCACTTACCTTGAAAATTTATCTGACTTAATAGAAATATAGTATTTATATTCAAAAAATCCTTCAATATATGCAAACTTTTGCTGGATCTACTTTGCATTATTTTTTCTGAATAAAGAGCCCGGTTGCCTGGAAACGTAAAAATTGACGTGATAAAGCCATATCACGGATGGCGCGTCAGCATTATAAGTGTTTTAGCTAGCGTTTCCAGTCCCTGTCTTCTGGATTGTCTATGCTTAAACAAAGCCATTACATTCGCGTCCAAGTATGATAACATCACAGAAGAAGAAAGACACATTATAAGTGAATAGCTGTGAAGTGAAGGAGACAGCAAACGGATTGAACTGTTATCAACATTTGAAATTTTATCAGAAAACAAGGCGTTTAAAGCCAAGACTTTATAAATTATGGCCTACAATTTCTCCACAATAACAGCTTTCATCTGAAATGAACAAAAGATACATAGCCAAAATATGAATATAAATTATTAATACAAATTAAATTCAGTGTTCGCAAGAAAAATAAGTATATACGGGTCTTTTACTTATACCGGCTTCCATGTTGCCAATTGTGAAACGTTCTTCAGCCACAGTCGTGATTATTATTAATGATAATTATTAATTTATATCGGACCGCATTACGGAGAGAGGTTGTGGACGTATTGCCTTCTGGTAGATCTCCGAACTCATGCATATAAGTACTCCATAATTTCTGAATATGTAATAGACGTGTTCAGTGCGTTTTTAGAACTTCCATCAAGTGAATGTCACCATCGGACAAACTTCCCCCGCGTCAGTTTCCCCCTCCATGTCTTGGTTAAGGCTCTCAGTTTCGCAGTATTGGCGTCATAATTTTATTACGGTCGCATTAGAAAATTTTTTCGCGACCTTAGCGAAACTCCCTATAAAAGCATCTGTATCTTTATTGCGTCCCTGAATACGATTTCGTCAATAATACTACTTCTTCTTTTAGGCGAGAGGGCCTTTCCGTTTTGAAAACAACGACCTTTCTTGTTTACCCGTCACAATCTATATCAACTCCACTATATACCGTAAGTCCACCCTTAGCAACAATGTCATTTGACCGTAGAAACAGTTAATTTGAAATTTCCCAACGTGTTTTGCGAACGCATGTTGTTTGACGGTGAAACGGAATCGGCTGTCATGCAGTTCGTTTTAATTACATTAATTGATTTTGAAGTGTATAAGCTGTATATATATTAGCAATGAATATTTCAAAGGGGGGCACGACTCACCGTTGGCTAACGTCCCTGTCTACTGACATCAAGAATGTCTCAGCCGGTCGGAGTCGAAGTTCTAATAGAGTTTTCATCAGATTTAAAAAAAATCACAAGAAAATTAAATATTTTGTCTTGGCCGTGTTTGTTTTGGCGTGTAAAGACTGGGGGTGACTTCAACTTTTGGTTAAAAGGTAGCGTTCCAGTTATTTTATTTCACGTTAACCCGTTGTACGCAATTACGTTTTTCCCTCCATCCGTCGATTCCGCCAATGGCCATGGATTATTTACGACAATTGGCGACAAATGGCGACAAACCACGAGATGCGCAGAACGGCGGAACCGAACATTCCACCTTCATTTCGTTGCAAGAGGAAAGAAGCGTGTTTGTAAAACGTGTTTGGAAAATGGCTTCTATTGGGGGTAAAAAGTTAACCCAACTTCGTGTTGTTGATTTGAGAGCAGAACTAGAGAAAAGAGGTTTGGACAAAACCGGTCTTAAGGGAGCTTTAGTGGAGCGACTGGAGAAAGTAAGACGTTTATTTCGTTGATAAATTTATTTATATGTATTCGAGTGAAGTCAGTGAACGCTTTATTCCTGTGCGATATTTTCATAGAAAAGTTGCCGTTTATGGCGATCAGAGAGGCTTATTAAGCACAAGAATATATCGATTTTTTATGTGTTTTTCTTTTGCAGTCGTTGCTGGACGAATCGGCAGATTTAAACGAGTCAGCAGAGAAGGAATGCGAGGGCAACGAAAAGGCAAACATTGCTGAATCCGAAGCCACTCAAACGCCAAACGGCAACGTGGACGGTTTGTATTCTTATTTGGAAGAACCTTTTTGGCAATTTTGTGGTCCATGTGATGTTTTAAACTTGTGTAGACTATAGCCAAATTTCGGTTAGCATTTGAAATTATTTTAAGGCATGTTTCGTTTTCTAAAGGACATATTTTGTGACCCAGTGGCAGAGTCAGGCAGACTGGCAGTGCACAGTCATATGTTAGGCGTCATGCAGACTTCTTTGGAAATAAGGCTTTTGGCTTGATTGTAATTTAGTATTTTTATGCTACTATAGCAATCGTTTCATTATTATATCAATACACCCTTTGGATGTTTATGTCATTTGGGCTGGAAGCCTTCTCCCATCATTCTTGGGCCAACCGCCTTGCATCTTTTATTTTACTGCTGATTACGTGGCCCTTGCAAGCAGTGTATTTGTTATCTAATTATTGAAATGACATTCCCTATATTATTTTCCCAGTACCTACATTGCAATATAGCTAGGTCAGTCGCAAGTGGGCTAGCCTCGTTAAATTGTTCTAGCCCAAGAAAACCAGCAAAATATAGCTTTTATATCAAAACAATTTTATATCATATGAATGAATGAGAAAGCTATATATATAGTGTCAAATACAATACAAGGTTTGCACATAATATTTTTTAATTTTAGGAGATGATGAAATTCCAGATGATTTTTCAGGTTTCATTGTGTTAGATGGTGATGACAGTGAAGCCGAGATTGATGATGCAGAAGAAAAACAGGTTTGTTCTTCTGCTTGTATGAACTTAGCAGACCTATAGGTTTACATAGTTTTGTAAAACATATTCTTCTTTAGTATTCCTCATATGTGGTTTATATATTTCCCATCCTATCTAGAGAAAATTTTACTGCTTTAAATCTCACACATGGTTCAAGGCAATTTTTGACTTTGCCCTATAGGCAAAATTACTTTTGCTAAAATAGATTTTCCAAAGAGTTGCCGCATCCAAAATTGCATTTGATTGCAGTTGTACAGACCTGTTAGATCACAATATTCTAGATAATTAAGATTGATGGATTTGTTCATATCTGACTTCTCTTATGTTACAAATTTTTAAAACAGGAGGGGCATGGCAGTGAAGAAGTGGATGATGTTCTTTTGAGTGAGAAAAATGAAGAAACTGAGAATGAAACTGTTGAACAGGTACAGTATTTTTTAAAAATTGTTATTAAGAATGAATATTTAAAATCAACTTTTAAAATATATTAAAAGCTTCTCAATTTTTGTCTTGCCATCCCTCGGATGTTTAACAGACTTAAAACAGTAGCAGCAAGCACAAGCTATTTTTCTATGCAGTCATTCATTTTTGAAATAATATGTGAAATTATGTAGATCTGCATATAAATGGTTACAGATGGGAATAATTTTTTCTACAATTGTTACAAATAAACATTATTACTATTAAAAATAAGTGAAGATTTTTTTTCATAAAATTAAAGTTTTGGACTGAGAAATGAATGGAAGACTGCTGTATTTTTGGTACTTGAAAGCTTGTGATACATAAAACACCTCAATGATGTTAATTAATGTAGAAACACCAAAGAAACTAACTTTAAATTTTAGAAGTGCACTTAAATTTTAGAAGGACTTTTTTAATGCTAAAGCACAGTCTGGAGAATACTATTTAGTAATTAAACAAAACAAAACACTGAGTGCAGTGGATGTTGTGAAACAGGGCTTGATTGTAAAAATAACTATTGTGTGTATAGGTTGATGTAACAGAGGAGGATAAACCAGAAAATGACTTGGGAGAATGTTCTCCAGAATATGAATATCAAGATGAACCAGAGGTAGGGTATACTGCTATACAATGTTAGTTTGTACAGTGCCCAATGTGTGATGTATGTGATCTGTACGTCTTGTGAGCATGGTACGTTCAGCAAAGCAGAGTGGGGAGTATACTGTTTTACAATGTTAGTTTGTTCAGTACCAATGAGTACTACATAGTGTATCTAGCTGTATCTTGTTAGTACAGAAAGTAGAGTAAACCAGAGGTAGAGTATACTGTTATACATTGTAAACCGGTATAATTTGTATATATAGTAAATTATGCATAGTGTAAGTTCAATACAATAAGTACAGTGAACCTGGTGTAGAGTATACTGCTGGGTCCGGTTGTATCAAGACCGTTTAGTTAAACGGTGGATAAGTTCAAAATAGCAATCAAGTCTATCGTTTTATTCAACAAGCGAACTAAATGTTTTTCACCTTAATACAAAGATACTGTTTACAACTACATATTAAGTGCATGATATTCAAGTTGACTCCGGCCCCTGCACATTTGAAGTTAATAGAGAGAGTCCAGTAATACCTGTAGGTACTGTAGAGTTGGCTGTGTTAAATGTCAGTGAGTTCATTAAGTACAGTGAAAAAGAAGCAACATATTAATTATTTTTGCACACTGTGGGTGGGTATGGTTTCCCTCCCCTATGGCAGTTGGCAGTAGGACTGCCATATGCATGCAATTGTGGAAACTTTTTTTTGTGAGGTACATGGTATGTACATCATAAAAACACAGTTCTAATTAGGTGTAAATTACAGGTATACCTGACTGACCTGACAAAGGGCTAGCTTTCATGAATTAGGCCCCTGTACAGTAAGTACAGTAAACCACTGGTAGAGTATGCAGCTGTAAAATACAAATCCCCGACATATTTTTATAGGAAGAGTAATAGTTCGTCATTAGACAGTGGTAATCAACCGGCCCTAAAGTATAACTTGCCCTAGGGGTTTGATTACTGTGTTCCCAATGGACAATTTTCTGTTGCAATGCCATACTTACTGTATATCATCATTTTCCTCACCAATGTTTTAGGTTGTTGATGAAGGACAAGAGGATGAAAACGAAGAAGGTTTGCACAAAGGACTATTTTTTGTGGTGTTGCAATATGCGTGGTGTTGTGTGGTGTTGATATATTCATTACTGTTTTCTTCAGAAGAGATGGTTGAGGAATCAAATGTTGAACCTGAAGCAGATGTGTCTACCACAAAACCAAGTGAAAATCAATTGTCGCTGTCAATGTGTGTTAACACGGATGATGTTCAAGATGATCTGGATGAAGATTTGAAAGAAGTGGATTACGTAATTTTTTTTTTATTTTGCCAGCAACTTTCTATTTTGTACTCTACGAAAACGCTCGCATCTTTACATAGGCTATGTGCACACGGTAACCTTTTCAAGCGTTTTAACATTCGTTTTCATGCTAAAACTGTTTCAAACACCGTCAATTTACAATAGAAGTTAAATAGATACGCGTGGGCAAGGCGTCTAAACAATAAAATAGAAAAAAAGGTTTTTAAAACACTTGAAAACGACGTTCGTTTGCACATACTGTAGCCTTAGATTTTGGCAAACCATGCGTACTGTATCAGTTATGTTGCCATGTGTAACGTAAAATAAGTTAATACAGTTAGTATTGGGTATTACAGGTTACATGTAAGCCACTGGAAGCCAAGGTCCTCCTGTTGATAACTGTAATTCCGAACTTGTGTGAGGTTCCTAGTTTATTTATAATACTGTTTTAGGACGAAGCTGTAGAAGACGAGGGCATGGACGAAGAACAGCCGGTCGAAAATGCTCATGAAGATGTCGAAAAAATGGAAGCTGACGAAAATGTTCCAGATGAAGACGACGAAGCATTAGCAGAGAGTCAGGAGGGAGATCAAGAGATGACTGTGGATACTGAGGAAAAGACAGTTGAAGAGTAAGTTTGTTAACAATATTATCAACCATGAAAAATATTGCGTTTTCCTCGTCAATCATTAAACTCACAGCAATATCAGAGTTCCAAGGTAGCTAACCAAGCTGGATCCAGCATGGCAGCGTCTTTAAATAACCGCTCATCAAATGTGATATAAAATAAACAGTTTAGCAGTATTAGACCCTATGAGCTTGTGTAAGACTGTCACCGACATGATTTCATACATGGTTACTTAATCGAATGTACAACATTCAATTACTTTGGCTTATTCTTTTATTTGACACTTTGTCGTCCACCTGACGGTTCGTAGGTCTTTTTTCTGTAATAATCGATGGACCATTTACGTCTAGGGACGATGTGAAAGTCGAGGCTGAAAGCGATAAAGAGGAAGCTGTTGATAAGGAAAAGGAAGAAGATGGGACTGAGGCTCAAACTGAGACAAAGGCGAAAGAAACTGAAAAGAAAGAGGCGAAAAAGGAAAGCAAAACCGAGGAGAAGAAAGACGAGAAAAAAGATGGAAAACAAGTGAAGAAAGAAGAGCCAGCTAAGAAACCAGCAGTGAAGAAGGATGAAAAGAAAGTAGAAAAAAAACCAGAGACCAAGGATGAAAAGAAACCGGGCGAGAAGAAAAGTGCAGCAGATGCAAAGAAAACCGGAATAGATGCAAAGAAGAAAGAAATGGGAAAAAGTTTATGGGTCAGTAACTTGTCCTCCATGACTCGTGCAGCTGATCTGAAGACAAGATTTAGTCAGTATGGAAAGGTATGAGTGATTATTTCTTGTTATTATTATTGAGTGACAGTCGGCTGCTGTTGGGAAGTCCTTCACTTTTCATGATGTTTAGTTTTGCCATAGGCAGCCCAAATAATGCGTGATGATTTGAACGCGAGAAATTTTTCGGCAATTTGTCAATATAATGTAATAATGTATAATTACAAGGTGGGAGGCTCTTATTTTACGTTACGAAACTCACCACTGAGACTATGACAAAATACTTCAATTATATTGAGCGAAACTAATAAAAAATATAGTAAACTAATCTCTGATGATTTTCCTAACTTCTTACAAGCGAATTAAGATTTAAAACTGCTTTTAACATGACAAAATACTGCAATATTTTTATAGTTTTTGATCAGAAACGTTTTTTAGGATGCGGGATGCCAGTGGTCCCTGTATTCGTCATGATTTTGAAATATTTTACCTGATCCTATTGGTTAAAAAATAGTCCAACACACCTCAACCAATTTCAACCAATAGTTTTATGTAAAATATTTCAAAACAATGCCGAATACATGGACCAGTGTCATCCCGCATCGTAGGAAAAGTTTCTGATCAAAAACTATAAAAATATTGCCGTGTTTTGTCATGTTAAAGACAGTTTTAAATCGTAATTCGCTTGTAAGAAGTTAAGAAAATAATCAGAGATTAGTTTACTATATTTTATTTATTAATTTCAGTCAATAAAATTGAGGTATTTTGTGATAGTATAAGGGGTGAGTTTCGTAACGTAAAAAAAATGATAATGTAATGAGACATTATTACACCATGGGCCGGTTGTTCAAAAGCCGGTTAACGCTAACCCAGGGTTAAAAATGCCTAACCCAGGGTTAAATTTTAAACCTTGGTTAGCGTTGCACAAAGCTCGGTTAGCGTTAACCCTGGGTTAAAATTGACAAAAAAATTAACCCTGCTAGCTAGGTGGGTTAACTTTTTAATCCTGGGTTAATTTCGATTCAAAATGGATGAATAAGGAGCGGAAACACGTAAATACAGATGATCCTTTATGAATTAAACACTTTTGAAAGGTTTTACGAACAATTTTGGACAGCAAAGAATTATTTAAGTTTGACTTCGTTCTGTTTCAGCTGATGTGTTGATTTATTTACAATCGCTTCAATGCAATACATGATAAATGCATACAACCGTACGAAATGAAACATGGTAATCGAAATATTTGTTTCGGATGCCAAAATTTGATTCTTTTGATTGGCAGCAAATGGTAAGGCTACGTTTGTTCCTGAATTTTGAATAATCAAAGAATGCCTGAAATTTTCAAAATAGATTGTTTATAATATGCATTGCTTAATTTTGCTTCACATCGCGACATTGTTTATCATACAAAATGGCCTTTCATTTCGAATCTTTCCAAAATTGCATGCACGGAAATTGCTGTTAAAAACAACGTCCCTTCGACCCTGCCCTCACGGCATATAATCTTTCGACTGACAATATATCCTCGTCGGGTAAAGTTTTGCCGCTCGTTTATTGACCAATCGAAAACGTTCTTATATCCAACTTAGTCGTTAAAATACATTTAATCTTAGGTTAAATATTTTAACCCTGGGTTAACTAACCCTACCGCTAACCCAGCTTTGAACAACACAGTTTTAACCCAGGTTTAGCTAACCTAGGGTTAAGGATTTTAACCCAGGTTTAGCACTAACCCTGGGTTAGCGTTAACTTGCTTTTGAACAACCGGCCCCAGATTGACAAATTGCCAAAAAAAATCTCGCGTTTAAAATATCACGCATATTTGGGCTGCCTATGGTTTTGCTCTAAGAAAACTGTTGCAAAAATGAGTTAAAATTTTATTCTGATTAATTAATCATCTATCTTTGGTGATCAGGTTGTGGGTGCTAAGATAGTAACCAACTCCAAATCTCCTGGCGGTCAGTGCTTTGGTCTGGTTACAATGTCAACCAGCGAAGAAGCTGCGAAATGTATCCAGCATCTCCATCGGACCGAAATGCATGGACGTAGTATAACAGTCGATCGGGTATGTCTTGCTTTTGTAATCCTACTACAAGTATCATATTGTAATGGTAAAATGTTCCCCTGCATGTTAATGCAAGTCAAAGCACATCAAGGCTTTGAGTATCAGTGGTAATTGGTCTGAAACTCTAAAGTGATATATCTTCATTTGATTTTTGGTAGGCTAAAGGTGATCGTCTCCCAACTGCCGCTGCAACAACTGCTAAAAAACCTGCTGCAAAGAAAGTTACCAAACCTGGTGAGTACACTAGTATCTCGCGTATCATCCAGTATATCGTAGCAATTATGTAGAATCGTTTTTGCGCAACTTTAAGAACGAAATTTATCTGTGGCCGTTCTATATCAAGTTCTTTGTGAGGCTTTAGTACGTATACTGTACCTCAATGCCTAATGGCCAGGTTGCATCTCTTCCCCCTCTTTTTCATTTATGTACCCCTGTAATCTTATGTTGGCTCCCCAGTTAATTCCAAAATACAGTACTGTGTTCCCAGCAGCTCAAAATATATTATTAACTAGGCCTTCTGAAACCGTATGCCACAATTTCCAGAAGGAAGGTCAATTTTAAATAGTTGCATTATCTACGGTATTTTATTGGCTTTTCATCGCGCAGCAAATTTTTCGTGCATTGCGTTCGTGAATGGTTTGAAGTTAATCATGATATCTTACCTCAAGCGGCGACCAAAACAAAAGATGACAAGGCAAAAGATGAGAAAGCGAAGGACGACAAGGCAAAGGATGAAAAGGCAGCGAAGAGTAAAGATAAGAGCAGCGAGAAGAAGGCAGCTGACATCAAGACAAAATCGGAAAAATCCGACGAGAAATCATCGGTTGTCAAATCGGATGGCAAGACGACTGCAAAGACTGGTGAGATTTTTGGGGGGGGGGTGTTGGAAACTAAAGTGTCTTTTTCTCCTGGCCCCGTTACCCACTACTATCCCTTCTATCCATTTTCATACATTTTCGTTTGCGTTCGGCTGCGTTAGGATTAGGTGAAACTGAATGATTTTTCGCCAGCGTTTAGAGGATCGTTGATCGCAGTCGCGATTTCTTTTTTGGTTTCCACTCATCTGACCAGGCATTCTTTTTGGTTACAATACAGTAGTTCCAAGTTTCTTAGCCGCGCAACGAGCAAATTGTGTAAATATATTCAAATTAACGGCAAGTGTGTATCCTCACGGAAGTAATCACTTCGCTTTCGGGCCTTGTGTTCATCAGATGAAATAATGTTGAATTGGCATTGCCGCATTACGATCATCTGTTCAACCTCGGGTTCTGAGGAAACCAGCTGCACAGTAATCAGTTTTCTCTGGTTTACCGATGGATGTTTAATGCATATCTCTCGCAAGAGAAATGCTGCAATAGTATTTATGTCAACTGAAGCACTGTTGAAGATCCACAAACCATGAATGGATTGGCTTTTTTGACTGTATATCTCCCCGTTGCACTGCTAATATTCTCCATATCCGTATTATATTTGTAGGAAGAATGGCATTAACATTAAAACATGGAGCTCGTTAAACGCATTAAGAGTTCTCGGGCAACTCTGTTTTTATATCAAGCTATTCAATATCCATACCTTTAGTATAACATTTTGTATGCTTAATACGTTTGTTTTATTAACGAAAATAATAGGAAAAGAAAGCGATGCGAAAGGGGAAAAGGGGAAAACCGATAGTAAGACCACAAAAGCAAGCTCCGCGAAGAAAGACGGGAAAGATGACAAGCCCTCTCATCGGCGTTCCAGCCCTGCCATCAAGTCCCTTGAAGATGTGAGACGTGAGAAACGTGAACGTCAAGTGCGTGAAAGAAGAGAACGGGAACGACGGGAACGAGTACGTCGAGAACGCGAACGAATTATGCGTGAGAGAGCAATGGAACGTGAACGCGAACGAATTAGACAACGTGAGAGAGAAAGACGTCGTGTACAACTGTTACGCGAGAGAGAAGAACGCGAGCGTCAAGAACGGCTGAGATTGGAACGCGAACGAATGAGACAACGAGAATTGGAACGTGAGCGGGAACGAGAGAGACAAGAGAGAGAACGTTTGAGACTCATCCAAGAACGGCAGCTGCGTGAAGATCGCGAGAGATTGGAACGTGAACGTGAAAGGCTAGAACGTGAGCGCTTGCAGAGGTTGGAACGTGAACGAATGGAACGACAACGTGCCGAAGAACGTCGTGGTGTGAAGCGACCCGGAGATCCCTATGCCAGAGAGAAATCCCCAACACGTGGCCCTGGATATTGGCCTGATAGTAAGAGACCTGCGACTGAAAGAAGTGGTGATGGTCGAGAGTTCTTCAGTGGTATGTCCAGTCGTGATCGTGGTGCTCGCGATCCCCCTGAAACAAGACCAGCTCCGAGCAGAGAACGCCGTGGTGATCCTCGTGGTGACCCCCGTGGTGATGCTCGTGGTGGGCACTCAGACCCGCGAAGCAGTCATTCCACGCGTGATGAGGTGCCACGTGATGAACATCGTCGTGCCGAGCGGGATCGTCCGAGTGCAAGTCGATCAACCCGCGAGTCCCCTCGTGAACGTGACTCGCGCGACCGTCGACCAAGCTGGGAACATGGTGCCGAGAGCAGCAGCGACCCACAGAAAGGATTGTCATTGTTGTTACAACGTGCTGGCGTCAGTGGCATCCTGGGAAGTGAAGTAAGCGGTCGTTCGAGTTTGACAAAACCAGTTGTTCCTGCTGGTAGTTCATCAAGTCGCGACAGACCTGGAGAAAGTTGGAGTGAACGTAGCAGTGCTCATGCTCGTCCTATTATGTCATCCCACAGTTTGGCACCCCCCGGGAATGCAACAGCTCGTGCTGGAAGACCTGTTGTGAGTGAGCCTGCACGTGGGTGGCCTGTTGAGAAAGAGCACGACAGATCCCGGGAGCGTGATCGTGGTGTTGCTACGCGAGAAATGTCCCGTTCTGCTTGGAGTGCTTCTACAAATCCTTCAAGCGCCATGTTGCCTCCATCTATGGATCGATCTCGTACAGTAATCCCACCAAGCCGTAGCTCGGCTTTGCCAACAAGAATTATCAGCCAACATTCAGCCCCATTGCCTATGACTGTACCTATTATTGACAGCCGTCGTCCTGTCCCTATGTCTGGTCGTGGTGACCCGTTCAGGGGTGCACCTGTGCCCACCATTCCTCGTAGTGCCATGAGACGCTATTAAGAAAACAAACTTGAAGCATTTTACTTTTTGACCATTAGAACTTGACTTTTAACGGACAATCAAGAAATTATTGGACACAACACAAAGTCGCATTTCTGTTCTGGTGCATTCTCATGTAATTGAACTTTAGAATTAAATGAGGAGTCGTCATTTCCTCTGGTGCGACATTTTATTTGAACTTTGGATATTGAGATATGTTATTGACGAAACCTGGTGTAGTGAATTGCTCTGGTGTAGTGAAAGTGAATCGATTACATTGGACTTCCAGTTTGGGCGGTGGAAAAGAGCCAGAAAAGCGAAAGTTTACACATATATACGCGCACATGTGGAAAAGTTTCGAAGATCAAGCAAGCTCCTTCCAGTGGAATGCAAGTGTTTAAACGACTCGTTACGTGAAGACGTTTGACTGAAGACATGTCGTATTTGTCCTTGGAGAACTAAATGGGTTACTCGAAACGATTTCATTATCCGAATAGACAAGATATTCGTTCATTTGTAGTATGAGATGAATTATCATTCCAGAATATTTTTCTTCATGAACATCCTTGAAACTATCAGCTCGTTTTTAAAAATGCGCTACTTGCATGATTTTAGTATTTTTAGATCCATATGAGAAACTTAGGGTACGAGGTTGAATGGTATAGTTTCCTAAGTAACGCTTCGACCTACTCATAGTGTTTGTAGCTTATTGGCTTTTCATACTTAATGTAACGTGTTTTTAAACTTTCAGTGATTCAAATCCCTGCGTATGCGTCGAAATACATTCTGTTTTTTGACCTGAAATAAAATATATGTGCAAGGATTCCGTACATTTCCTAGAAATAGGGTTAACTATTATTTTGCCTCTAAACAATGAAGTTTTCAAAGTAGAGTTGCGATATTGGAGAGCACAAACGGCGACAAATTGTACGTTCGCATGGTAAGTTAATTACGCTTTCACCAAGACGGAAATTGAGAATCTGGCCTTATCCAGTTTTCCGAAAGAACATCGAAGATAGAGGTAAAATCCCAAATAGCGCAGTTCCATGCTAATACGGTGCTACTTGCTACAGAACAGTCTACTGGGCGTGACCAATCTGTGGTGCACAAGGGTTTGTTTTACTAATATCAGCAGCACCTTTTCTAAAATTAATAACAATTTCGAAAATGGAAAACCTATTTTCCGCGTTATCGTTTAGCAATTGACAGTAATGTTACCGGACAAATGATTCCTGAATGATAATGTGACCAGAATTAACGACGTAAAGAAGCGACTGCTTGTTCTATCAAATTGTGGTCTGTTAGTTAAATTCCCAATTGTGCCGACATAAGAAATAACCGAGACCAAGACAGAAAATGAAATCGATTTGTATTGTATTGCATTGTACTGTATTGTATTGTATTCAACAAAATGATAAGATCGGCTAATGAAAATTCGATATTTCTGTTCATTCCATTATCTTGTAAAAGGTACGGTTTCTATAGCATTTCTCGTTTAGAAACCCGGCATTACAGCAATTCAGCCTGCCTTTAAGGAATTATTGGTTCATTTTCACGTTATCGGTTCGTCTAATTCAGCAAGTTTTTATCAAAGATCAGGGGCGGGCATATCAGGTAGGTTAATACCTAGTCAATACAAATCTGCAATTATTCCTAAGCTTCGGCTAGTTTTTGAATGATTCCTTATTAAGTTCTTTTTCGAAAAGATAACGAGTGTACATATAAAATGTGTAATGCGGCAGCGAGGAGCTATTTCACCAAAAAAATTAACATAACCTAGTCCTCGAATCCATGGCCATGAAGGCATGATCAAAACGTCATATTTTTTATTCTCTACCTGTATAAAGCCGGAAATTGTGGCAAGACAAAGAAACTTACTGAGAAACGCCCCACTGATTCCAACCCTGCATGCGGCATGCAACGCGCTTGGGGCCTTGTAGCTCTTGACCATGCACCTACTAGCTTTCCGGCGAATTTATTGAAAAAATACAAACATTGTATTTAGGGGTCTATTGCATGCTAATGTTTCATATCTACATTAATAAGGTTGAAATTAGTAGATATTTAACCACTTTGTGCTTTTATTGTTTTACAGCAAGTCGAAAAGTTGCAGCTAGTCCATAGCATATATAAAATGATTTGAATGCCTGGTTATGGTAAGTATAAAATTGAATTAATTATTGGTACAAATTAAAACTACGTTCATATAAACTCAACTCTAAATGATTTTGCAATCCTAAATGAAAAGAAAAAGTAAAGAAAAAGTAAAATATATTTATTACTATAATGACTAAAGTCCAACTAAATTAAAAATATCAATTCAGCAAAATATTTATTGTGATCTTAAACACTGAGTAAGGTCATATTCATGTTTGTTTGGTTAAATGGAAATTAAACGCCTCTGTTTAAATATGTAAGGCTAGGATATCGAAGATTCGTAAGCCTCTTTAATTATCTTATTTATTTAATACGAGCTGTGAATATTTTCATCCAATGCTTCGCCTTCGATGTTATATGTAACTGGACTATTCTCATTCTCTTTTGATTGAAGAAGACGATTTATGTTAATATGACGTAAATGTGAATAATGAGGCCAAATGTACGGTGTAAGATAGAGATAATAAAGTTTTCTACACAATTCTTTTTGTTTTGCTGGTCTTTTTTTATCGGAATGAACAACGTCCAATCTTTTAATCGCATTGAACAACGTCTATCACAATGGATAACTTAAGATTCGGCTATATTTTGTCGAACTGATAAAAGAACATGTTTCTTTTTGCTGGAAAATTTTTCGCGACCAACCACATCACTAGATTCGAGTTTTCATTTCGCGTCGCGCGAATAAAATCACATAGTGGAGAATGGGCTTTATACTTCGTGAACTTAAGAGTTGCTCCTTGCGGAGAAATGGTTTGCTCAAAATATAGCACTAAAAGCATACTAGAAATGCATGCATGTAGCAACCTCTCGCCATTCCAAACGAAGCAAAATATTTCCTAGCTAGCCAGATCAGTGACTAATTAGATTCCCATTCAGCATAGTTACATACGATAGCCTCTGAATTACTAGTGGAATTAAAATCTTATTTTGTAAGCTACATTGCTTTAATTATAATGTCGTTTTTTACGTAGCGCACTTATATTTATAGTGAATAGTTAGAGTTGTGTTTACCGCAAAATAATCACTTCAGTTATAAAGCGCTAGCTGTGCAGGCTGAAATAATATCAAGCGTAAACATTTCAAGTTCAGTATACACTGTAAATTCTGTCGAAATTTGTTTCTGTTAATTTTGTAAAACCGTTAAAAGTTAAAAAATTTTTCTCACCAAATCAAGACGTGTGGTCCATAGCATAATGGCGGACGAACTCGAATCAGATCTATTAAACGCTAGCTCTCTGACTTTCCCTCATTAATGAGTGAAGTAAAGATGGGGGAATATGAAGCATTTCTTGTAGGTATGATCCAGGCCTCTGGCACGGAAATTTCATAGGTAAAATTATAATTGCCGCCATATTACCTGCGAAATTTCCGCGTGGAGGCCTGGATCATATCAACAAGAAAGGCTTCATATACCGCCATCTTGGCCTCAAATTTTTCACAGAGTTAACGTTCCAGTCTTGATTAATATTCAGTTCACTGCTTTGATTCAGTGAACTCAAATAAGACTGAACGCTAGCACCGCCAGAAGTTTGAAGCTAAGATGGCGGACACTGAAGCCTTTCTTGCAGGTAAGTCCAGTCCTCCGGCGTGGAAATGTTGTAGGTCAGTAGGTAAAATAGCGACAATTATGAACGAATATTTAAAGCTCGTCTTTAGATTCAAATTACAGACATTTTGAGATAACAGTATAATATAAAATATAGCATGTATTCTATACGAGGAATTATTGGATCACCTAACGGAACAGCAAATCATTCTGTACGACATTGTTTAAGAAAACTTTTGTAAACAGACATCGTGCCCGAAAATCACAAAACACAGTTGTTATTATCTCAGACTGAGGAATCGTCGCAAAATAAGTTACGTTTTCTGTCGAATGCACATTCTTTTCATGAAATACCCTCTCCCTTGAAAATTATTTGAAAGAAAAATCGTACAAAGCTGGTATGATTTATACAAAAAGTACAAAATTTCCGTCCGTAGCTTCACCCTTCGTGACTAGCCCACGCAAACACAGATTTTTTTTCGCCATCTTGGCTTCACTAATTAATGAGGAGAAAGTCAGAGAGTTAGGGGCTGTTTACATGGGCCCGGTTACCCGAGATTCAACGAAGCGTGAGAGGACTTTGAGGTACTGAAATAAGTCTTTGTGACACCAAACAAGGGCATGCTATTGTTATGGTGATTATACGAGTAATATGACTTCCAAGATCATATTATCTGCTCATTTTAATACCTCAAAATCACCTCACGCTTCGTTGAATCTCGGGTAACCGGGCTCATGTAAACAGCCCCTTAGAGTTCCAGTCTTATTTAAATTCACTGCTTTTATGTCACATTTGCAAATCGTGCATGAGTGTAAATATCCGAGGGGAATTAATACCCTCACCTAACCTCACGAGGATAATTATTTTATATAAAATATTATTATAAAATTAATAATCATTTATAGAATAAAGCTCTGGATCTTTTAGGTACTTGCAAGTGTTAGAGGCATAGCGTGGTTAATTGCTCAATTATTTAAACGATATTAAAGTGGTGGGAAACAAAACTTAGACGGGGATAAAACGCTGAAATGGGGATAACGAAACTCAACTTAAACAAAACACGGAAAGTTCTTAAACTTTAAGTTCTTGTTCTTTGAAAATTGATACAATATAACCAGGAAGTAGCGTGTCAGCGTCTTCAAACAACTTAGCATCAAATGTGGTATAACAACTGTCTAAAATAGACAAAACACTTCTCGACGTTTCGACCTGAGGGCCTTCGTCAAGAGAGTATCATACTGAGGGGATGACATGAGCCCAGTTACCCGAGATTCAACGAAGCGTAAGAGGACTTTGAGGTATTGAAATAAGTCTTTATGACATCAAACACGCACATGCTATTGTTGTGGTGATTATAAGACTGCTAGGATCGTGTTATCTGCTCATTTCAATACCTCAAAATCATCTCACGTTTCGTTGAATCCCGGGTAACCGGGCTCATGTAAACAGCCCCTAACTCTCCTGAAGAAGGCCCTCAGGTCGAAACGTCGAGAAGTGTTTTGTCTATTTTAGGCAGTTGTTATACCACATTTGATGCTAAGATACATTCAGTGCACAATAAAAGCGTGTGTTACGTACGAAGATATGGACCTGCGAAAACGATTCAAACGTTTTTGTCTTTAAATTTTAACATTCTGTTCAGTTGATACTTATCAAAAGAAGATTATCCTCGTCGTTTATATACAATTATACTGTTACACAATCAAAGTTTGAGTTTTTTGCGAAATTAGATCGAAAGAGTTAATATAGAATACGTGAAAAATATGTCGGCTTCAGTTTATTTCATCACTAATAAAATAGTGATGCCTTGAGTGGTTTTACCCTCTCATCACTGTCCATTAACCTTGCCGTTTTTGCTTTGTCAGCTTGGTACACCCTGCTGAAGATTGAAAATAACTATTTTGAAAAGGTGCCGAATGAAAACGTGGCTTTTCTTAAAAGTTAGACCCATAAATCATTTCATTTACGTTTGGTATCAAGCGCAGAAAATGGAAACAATTGTTTCGCAAAAAGAAATGAAGGAAGGGTATCACTTCGATATTTATACTGCTACATAAAAAGACAATTCTTGTTCTTTGAACTTTGAACACATATAAATTATAGGAACGTGGGGCAGCGACTCGATTTTTTTCAGTGGAAAGAGAGGCTACCAATACCTTCGCACGAATTTTTTTTAAATTCGAGATCCGGTGCTTTTCAAGTGGTATGGACGTAGATATTTTCTCAAAAATAGGTTTTGATCCAAAAACACTTTACGGGATGATTATTCATCTATCTTTGTTAGAAATTTATTTATTTCAAAGTCAATGAACTAATCCATCTATTATGCATGCATATATAGTGAAAGCTAAGAGTCAGGGTTAATTATATACGCTTCTAGTTATGCAAACGTGCATTTGACTATTAGCCAAAGCGGCTTACCTATGCTATATATAGTTTGTGGATGAGAATACATTCATTTTCTCTTAATTTATGAATCATTTCCGTGCATGTAAATTAATCATTATGCATGTGATTGTCGCTTAGCAACTTCTACTTCTAACTTTAATTTTAGATAAAAATTATATGCTAATCAAATTTTATAAGAAATTGTTCCTTAGTTCAGCGAAACTTTTCCGTTCTATAAAAATGCCTGCTTTCTTCGTCTCGTGGCGTTAAGCTATTTTAGACTTCCATAAGTGTTCTCGGGATCTCTTACATTACTCAACTCTTCATAAGGTGGAGAACTCTCGCGGCTGGCAGTCCCCCCAGACTCATAAAAGTTGTCCTCAAGTTTCGCAACATCTAATTCGTAAACTGAATTCTGATATGAATGTTGAACATCGGCATTGCATAAAACTTTTCTTTTCAAATATCGACGACGAAGGCATGCCACAACATATGCAATTAAAAGCCCGATGACAATTCCAGCCACAATTATTATTACGAAGATATACCATTTAGTTCCGTGCTCAGTCGGCTCCTTTGATATTTCTGAAACTGTGAATATACTCATTAGAATGATTACTTTAATTTTTGCTATTTTCTTTGGGGATAAAGTTCCAAACACAACAATTGTGTGATTAAGGTTGTTCCCTTAAAATCTCAAATATTGAACACTGAGTGCGCAAGGGATGATAGGTTGTCAACATTATCAGCTCGTTAATGGACACTGCAATAAAAAATATTTTTGTCTTTTTGAAAAGGAAACTTACATTTCCGATATAAATCCTGTTTTTTATTGACGGTTGACGCTTCATGATCAAAAATAACAGCTGCATGCATGTTTACTCAATTCAAACGTTATAATTTGAGATACGTGCGATCAGTCGCGTAGCCAGCCTGACGATTTTGTCCCGCTATGTAAATTTTGAGTGATTATGATTATTCATTTCTTAAAAAAATTATTGTTTTCACAGTCAATAAACACCAAGATATTAGCATAGCGGGACAAATCGACAGGCTGGCTACGCTATACTGCGTGCGATTGTAATACCCTTAAGCTATTATTTCGAGCGGATCGTTAATTTGAAATTTGAATACGAAACAAAATTTACCCAGGTAAAGACGTCATACATATCAGACCAAGAATATATGCATGCCCAGTTCGCGCGGATGGCTGATAATTTCATTCAAAAATATCTTGAGAAGTAATAAAGTTAACAAACTATCCGTAAATGAATTTGGTAAATAATCATCTCGTTCCTTTAGAATGATAATCAAAAATAATTTGCTGTAATTTTAAGACCTTCAATTCAAATTCGTAATTATGTACATCATCCCTTGCGCCTCTCGGTTTTTTTTTATAAATGTGTTTCATTGAGAGAAACTATATGAATTTAGCTAGCTAGAGGAAGTACATCATAGGCCATGGGCTGTGTGAAATTATTTACCTCTTAGAAACTGGGAACTAACCTTGACAAATAGTCCCATTACCAACGTATCCAGAATTACAGGAACATGTGAAAGATCCGATTGTATTTTTACATTCAGAATTAGCCGGACAGGAATTACTATCCTCAGAACACTCGTCGATATCTAAAAGTGCGTTAATGAGATTGTTTTGACATGCATGGCATGAGTCATCGTTAATAACATCTCTTCCAACCAGGGAAACATGCATCCAGTAGTGTTACAAAGAGCGTGTCGTTACTAAAGGCGGTTTTCCACCAAGCGGAATTTTTCGATCAAATGAAATTTTTCGCTCGATTTTCTTTTCAAACGCAAGAATTCGACCGTAGCGGATTCCCTTCACCGGTCAAAATTGAGAGAAAATCAAGCTATATTGCTACTGCCTTTACCACCAAGACTCACTCAGGGCATATACTGCATTAAGCAAAGCTTGGTGATAAGAAAGTAGAGGACATTAGGGCAAACCTGCATAGGTGCTATTATAAGGACGACTAATAATTTTTATTTCTTCGGCATCTGCAAGTTTAGAATGATGTATGACAAAATATTTTAATGCTCATAAAAATTAATTTCCCTCTAAGGATTTAAGTGTCATGCGACGTGATGCATTCCAGTTGGCGCGGATGCATGGCTGATAATTTCATTCAAGAATATCTTGAGATATAATAAACTTAACAAAAATCCGTAAACGAATTTTGTAAATAATCATGTCGTTCCTTTAAAATGATAGAAAAGTTCAGAGTGGTGCTAGTTCTCATTACGTGGCTGATCGAAAAATGTGGAGGTGTGAATTTACCACGCTTATACTTCCCTCTAACGATTTTAGCGTTTGACGCAATATGAACAAACTATTGAAAACTATTCGCGGATGCACTTTTCCCTAACTTCGCAATAATAAAGCTATGGAAGAATTTTCAACATTGGGCCAAACAGGAAGATGTTAAAAATGCTTCGCGAATTACAGATTTAATGTTTAATGTTCCCGGCAACATTCTTTCATCTATTTTCCTAGGCGTGCAAACGTGCAAAATTTCATTGCATTGACTTTATTGGTTTTCTTTCCTTGTTACCTTGAACTCTCAGACGTTTTCCCACTTCAGTGATATTCGTACTGTCGCTTATTTTGAGACCGTTGCCTAGGAATGTTCCATCATGTGTGACTTGTAGTGAATGTGCCAGCTCATCCTGAATATTTCCCAGATCGATGCCCTTTTTATCGCTGAATGTTGCCACGTATTCGAAGCCAACCGATCCAGGACTAGAATTTTAATTTTTTTAATTTAAAGCATTTTTCAATTTCTCTTATTACTGAGCTAAATATTGAACAAGGAATTTTTAGGAATTAATAGAAACCACGAAAGGATTTAAATCGTTAAGTATCATTCGAAAATTTGTCCTGATTTGCATAAAATTTGAACTCTGAATTTCAGAGCTTGCATGGCAAGTATTCGTAATGTTTACGACATTAACGGACTGTGTGACAGGGCCGTCGCTAGAAGCTTAATTAGGGGGTGCATATATATATTCATATATTCGTGCTATATACCCAAATTATTTTTTTGTCATTTCTTTTATTTGTATACGGTTGTATACGAACATAAATATAATATTATACCCCCTCCCCAATTTAGCTTCTAGCGACGGCCATGAATGTGTGTGTCTGGTTTGTGTAAGATCAATAACAACTGAAAACATTTCCTAAAGTCTAAGCAATTTTGGTAACATTCCTATGTACCCTCTCTTTTAAGCCTGGCATTCGTCGGTGATATATGAGAACCACGCGTAACGAGGGGCGGTATACCAGACGAATAATGGATAATATAGCAATACAGGAGGTTTTATGGGAATTTCGGCTTGTATCAAATACTATATATATTTTAGGATAAACCATATAACCAGATTTGAATTTTATTAAACTTTTTGATTAAGGGGCTACCAGATTTTTTACAGTGGTAGATTTCGTGATCTATGATTAAGGGATGTTGCAAGTGGAAAGCGTGAACTGAAAAAAATGGATAGTCGTCACAATAGTCACAAAAGTACTCACAATAGTCGTAATATGATGATTAAACGGAAGGTAGAGTGTATTTTCGGTGTCCTCCTGTAAAGGCTTGTTAGCTAAATAGACGGTAATTAAGTATAGCTATTATTAGTATTCAGACTGAAGTACTAAAACCACCAAATTGGTCACAGGAAAGATGCAAAGGCAAGGAAGAAACTCCTCCTCACAAATACTGCATTCTGTTCCTTCCCTTCCCAATGGTAAAATACCCGATATTTAGGTAATAGTTGTATAAATAAATTATATTGACGACATGATACACACCTCATTGATTAACATTTCAGTAAATTCAAAATACTCGGCGCTGTTTATAATATTAAAGGCAGGGATGTATTGGCGGTTTATTATTCGGAATTCACCTTGGACGGATGCCTGAATATCTATGAAGAAGAGTGAAAGATTGCACGGAATGAAGGCAAAGATTAGATAATTAGCATCATCTATCTTTATTGTGACTCGATAATTTTAATCAACTTTTTAACAGTTGACCGATTTGCCATGCATGTGATTTCCTTTTCCTGGCGGCCATGTTTTGTCGAGTTAAATGATTTTCTTCAGTGCTACACACCGTTAAAGTCTAGCCTAACGTTAGTCTCTAATGTAGTCGTCATTGTTAACGTTTATTTATATATATTACAGCAAAAAATCGTTTTCTTCTTCCAAGAAGAAAGAACTTGTTTCAAGAAATATTTTCTTGAAACAAGACATTTCTTGCTATAGGAGATCAGCGAGAAAAAAATTCTAACTAAGAGAATTTGTGCAAGAAAATATTTCTCATAATGAGAAAAATAGATTTCTTGTTTTAGAACTAGAAATACATCCATGCAGCAACCACTCGCTATTTTAAACGAAGCAAAATATTTTGCGCTACCAAGACCTAACTTTCTACGCTAATATTATGAAATAACTAGTGCAAATTTTTCGGAAACAAAGATAGTCGTAAAGGTGAACAGAAATCACTTGTTTGTCTGCTGCATTACGTTGCAGTTTAAGTGAGTGTTAAACTTTTCTATTGCCAAACCTTCAAAACATCAAAACAGCACAAATAATTTTAATAACCATACAAGCACTAAACGTCATAATGTTGTTTTTCGATTATTTATTTTATTCAATGATTTTAACGACTATATAAGCTGCAAAGTGATATTTGTTTTTTCAAAACTCTGAAGTACACTTTTGAGAACTCATTTTAAAGTTTAGGCGATAATGCAAAGCCTCAAACGGTCGGTTAGCTCCTTGTAAAACGACATACCAAGCTCGTACTTGTCAAAATAACAATGCATTCTTACAGCAAACACTGAATAAGCAAAATATAGACACCTACCACTTCAAAGATTATAAATAGATTATAGATTATAATAGTCGTTCCTATTTCACCAACTGTTTCTGTGCAGTGATGATCTTTAAATCTTTTATTATTGTTCAGTTAAATATTTGACTCCGTGATTTCATTTTATATTTTTAAAAAATAGTTTGCAAAATGACGGTTAAATATAAGAAATTTTTGAGCACACTTTTTCTAGAAATAAGAGATTATAATGTCTAAATTAGATAAAATTACACCTGAAATAAGAAAATATTTTTTTATATTAATAGACTGAAGCCAGGAAGGCAATAACTGCGTAAGCTATCTTTTCAACTGCTAAAATGTTTTGATTTTCACTGTCGACCTATTTATGGGTAGAAACAAAATGAATTCTCTTATTAACAATTTAAGTTCACATTATAAATTAAGCTTGAAAGCCATTTGGGAGTATTTATACATGTTATATTGCTTAATACCTCTGTGTTGTGATGAACACTTACTTTAGACCCAGTACTATATTATATATTCTACTACTGGTGATTTACATTTGATTGACATTAAATTAAGTAGGCTTAAAATCGGGGTATCATATATCTGCACGGACATGATTAGAATGCAATTGATATAAGTTAGACTGCTAACATGAGAATCTAAACCGAACTGTGGAAAAGGTAGACGTTAATGCTGACCTGTAGCTGTATTTGTTTTATGTGAATCAACACGAGGATATTGGCACAGAAGTAAGTTAAATATAAAGTTAATCATAGTATATAAATTCGTTAAAGATGAGGTAAAGTCAGTTCTGCGCATATATTCCGCGCAGCAACACATTCCATCAGTGGGGGAGCAACATTTGGAATGTTAATGTATGCGATATTAGCGTGTTGTATTACAAACGGCAGTTCGGGAGCACAATTATTTTATTTTATGTTGCAAGGCGAAAAGGCTCGAATTGCGAGTCACGAAGATAACTTATCTTATCATAAGGCTGCTAGAAAAAGTAATACGCTGAAAGCAATGCTCCAAGAATTTATTTGTTGAATGAGGACACGAGATGACGAGGCTATTTGTCGTCGCTACAGACGCTACCTTCTCGCTTGTCCTACCATTACAAATATATAAAGTTTTAAATAACCGCCGGTTTATTTACAAGCTTCGCTTTATATTTTCTTCAAAATATAGTAATATTTTCTTCAAAATATAATATAAAATAAGAATATTCATCACAGATCACAACCGGTCGAGCGAGAAGAGATGAAGAAAATTAAAACGACTCATACGTCATGTAAAGATTATATAACCAACGTAAACAAACATTGTTATGCGCAGAATATATGCGCAGAACGGACTTTATTTATTATTCATATATTAATATTTAGATCGAATTGTGTTTGTGCACAATATTATTTGTGACAATAAATATACGATATAGCAATATCCAGTCGTGCAGCGTAGTAATAAGGGTGTATTGTCGATTCGACGAACCACTCTGTATATATTTGTTACGAAATGCGAATATATAATGTAATTTAGCATTGTTAAGAAATAGAAGGTCAATACAGATGAGGAAATTACTTGGGGAACATGTCACATAAAATGAAGTGTAAAGTAAATATTATTATGACCCTTCGGAATCACAAAATTACTTTTCCTGTCATAAGGTCACAGCCCATGGGATTTCCTCCGAAACAATAGTATGTCGTACAAAGTACAAGTGTCACGACTCAAGAACATAAGTTCTAGGCGGATACTAGTTTATGTCAATCATGTCTTTGTTATATTTTGCTCGGTTAAGCACTTGAAGCCTTACGTCACTAAAAGCTTAATTCGATGAAATTATTTGTAAAATAGGTTATAAGTTGAGATACGGTTCACAGAGTAATAAGTTGATAATTGTACTTTAAGTTAATGATAAATATTTTAAGTTGTGAACAAGTTTTAACAGTGATCGATTAAGTAAAAGACCAACTTGACTAGTGCGTCACCGGCCTTAAGTAAACAAAGTATGAAAGCTGGTCCGAGCTTTTAACGCCAACCCACACTTACAACCTACAACGCTGATTGGATTGTGTGAATCACACCATCTTGCACAGGGCGTCTTCAAGATCCCCTCAAATTTTATTATAAAAGGAGGCGCACAGCAACAGAACAGTCAGTGGACTAGCGGAGTAAAAAAGTATATGAAACGTTGGAGAAGCTCAACCTGACAGAACAGACAGCCAAGACGAGAACAGAAAACAACGAGGTCCGAAAGGACGAAGAATCAGAAGAGAAGAGAAGAACGAGAAAGAAGAGAACATTAGTGAACTTTAGTAAAACGTTGTAAAGATCTCCTACCTCGTGCATAGAAGAATTAAAATCTTATAACATATTTACATGCAGCTAATTCATGGACTAATTCATTTACCTTTTAATTTTGAGGACTTTTTTCAGGAAATATCACAGAAATCTTCTTTAAGAGATGTATCATGTTAAGACAAGCCTCCTGGATGTTTGGGAGATAATTTTATAACTTGCAACATATCTAGCAAAAATCTACCTAGCAAAAATTAGGTAACATAGAGCTTTATTGAAGTGTAGGCCATAATCATATAGTTTTTGTAGTTCCTAGAAAAAATTAAAATATTTACCAGGGTGTACCACTTTTCATGCAATTACAATATGTGTGGGGGAGAGGAATCTAGATACCAGACCCCAGATCACACAGCACAGAAATCGGATAATATTCTCATTGGAAGTTTGGAAAAATTTCGCCCACCCTCCTCCCCTCGGCTGCGACGATATGCGCCTTGCCGCATTTTTGCCTTAAGCTGAAAATTATTTATTCCCAATCTGAATTCCTCTTCAGTCGAAGGCATTGTGTGGGAAGGCGAGCAGCGAGAATATATACCTAAACGTTTACATGTAACAGCATGCATCTGAGTATAAAAACGCAAATAACAACATACTAAAATAATATTAAGTCAGTCTTAAGCGTGGGTTGGTTACTATTCGTAAAATGGAACATAGAATTATTTTACCAGTAGCAGAATTTTGAGTTGAGTTCGTAACGAATTTAGAGTATAGTATGTCGCCCAGTTTCGAAAGTGCCAGTATTCGGACAGCTGAGTTTCCTTCCTAAATTTTTTTAAACGAAAGGAAAAATTAAAACAATATGTTCCGATCATTTTCTGATATGTTACGAATGTTTTTGCGTTTTCACGTGTTTTTTTTTCTACTGCGCAGCCTGCGCAATAATTATAACTCGTCTGGTATGGCAGCATTTTTGCATTCTTGTTTTAAATTTCCCTTCGCTTTGTACACCAGGAGTGGAAATCGAGCTAAATTGTCGATTGCAAAAAGTCGATCACGCGACATTTTGCATTCATTGGAAGTCCGCCTTTACACACGGACAGCGAAGAAAATTTGAAAAAGGACGCGCTTCTTACCCACAACTCCGTTAGCGCTATTTGTTGGAACCGCGGGATCACGCGCGATATGTCGCGCACTCGACACGACGTTATTTGGCAATCAATGCTCCTTTCCATGATAATTGGAAAATGTGATACATTTCTCTCATGATGACATTTGTTTCTAAAGAGCTTCTATATTGTAAAAATTGTTTGTACAAAAGACTTAGCCAGATATAATTTACAATGGCAGGCGGAAATTATAGTATTTTTTTACTATACCCCATTTAGCTCTTTTTTTCTTATTATCTTCTTATTCCAAGAAATTATTTTCTTGAAACGAGGATCAGATAAGACAAGCTTTCCTATTTTAAGAAATATTTGGGATATTGCTTAAGATTAATTTTCTCATATTGAGAATTTCAGAAGTTAAGATAATCTCTCTTATATCAAGAAATTATTTTCTCAGTTTAAGAAAAAAATTCCAATTCAGAAGAATATAATTTTTTGCGTTAAAATCTGTAAATTTGTGGCCTGATTTATTTCTTATTTTAAGAAATTACTTTCTAAACGAGATTTTATATCCTAGAGTTAGAAAAAATAATTATCTGTTTAAGAAAAATTCTTCTTTACATAAGAAGAAAATTCTTAATATAGATATATTCTCTCGACAAGAAAATGATTTTTTGCTGCATATATATGCGGTGAATAAAGTGGGCAAAATATCCGCCAACTTTCTAACGCTGTCAAATAACTGAAGTCACCTAAGATTGTGGATTAAATTATACACACCAGTACATTTGTTATCAATAAATTGCTGGCCTGAACTGATACACCCACAGCGGTATCGTCCGGGATAGTTGGTACACGATTCACCTGCACCCGTGCATTTCTGTGGTTGGTCTCTACATTCATCTATATCGTCTATAAAAAACAATGAAATTAGCATATAGCTATGTATCCCCGAAAGCTATAGTCATGATCAAAGATAGCTATAACCACGTACTGTCCTGGAAAATAGGACATTTTTAACTAAATCGGCATGGAGTTCCATAAAAAATATCTGGAGGGTGTCGCATATGATCTGTGACCGACTTACGCAATGTTTATTTATATTTGGTATTTTATTGGCACAGTACGGCCAGACCTGGTCATATCCGTGTCCAATTCATTAGGGTACGGGTTAAGATTTTTTATGAGACTATCTATCACTGCAAAAACTACCCGATTTGGTGAACAGATGAAAGCGTAATTCTGTTAAATGCCACCGCCCCGCTGTGATAAATATACTCTCAAGGGCTGAGATTGAACTTGATTGCTCTAGATTCCCATAAACGAGCATTAATTTTTTTCAGGTCTTTTTATCACAGCGTTTTTCTTGAAAATTTGATCAACTGATGAATGACACAATTTTAAATTTTAAACATTTTATCTCATTTTTGAGGGGACTAAAAGGAGTTTGCAGGAAGACAGTTAAAACTTTATCTATTGTGCATTTTCTGGTTATTCTTGTCAAAGGTTTGAGACAGAATAATAGTTCCTTTCGAGTTTAAACAAGTCAGATATCATCGGATATGAATCATATGATATCCTTTTGTCATCGGATGCAGGCTTTCGGATCGACTTTTAAGGCAGATTTCACAAACGCTGGAGGGGGGGGGGGACTGCAGAGTGTCACTCGCGACAAAATTCAAGGCTGAAAAATATTAGGTATGCTTAAGTATTCTGAGGTATATTTAGGTACATTTATCGTTTTGCATATTAGGGAATCTTGTAAAAGAAAAACATTGAGTTTAAAGTTTTTAAAGTATTTTGGTAAAATGTAAAGTATTAAAATAAAAACTCCGTAAAAAACCGTGTACTTTAAAAACGATTAACTTCTTATTAACCGAGCGCGAGATCTTTACCGAGAAATATAGGGACCGAGGTCTTTTCAAACAGACCTAGCTCGAAGAGCAAAGTTTGTACAAAAATATTGAGGTCCGATATTTCTCGGTAAAGACCGATTTTGTACAAATATTATATATAGTTCGATTCAATCACAAATTCTCATTACATCGCTTTGCTTGTCAAGTTCGGCGGGAAAATTCCCGTGTTTCTATACAGTTTTAGTATACACCAGACTCTTGTCTTTTACAAATCCAACATTCTGATTGTCTACTCAACCATTGTCTATTCGTGATGGGAAAAATTCGCTCGCGCGACCGTATAAAATTGAATTATTTAAATTATTTTTCGGTGCATGTAATTGCGGGATATCGATTATTTTCTCGAAATAAATATATCTAGGTACAGGGTGTATACTAAAACAATTAGACAACTCGCCTTCGTTGTCTAATTGTTAAGTAGAAACACGCTTCTCGACCAATCAACACGCACGAACTATAAATGTTATACTTATTATAATGTTTTATATTTTATACATTAAGTTTAATATCTTGATTATTTTGAGCATGCGACAGTATTTTAAAAGATAAAGTTACTTACCACAACGAGTTCCATCACCGTGATATCCATGACTACAATCACACGTGTACGACCCGACTACATTATGACAGACAGCGTTCGGGGAACAGTTATTAGGGCCATTACATTCATCGATATCTTAAAATAGATGCGAACCAAGGTATACCTACTGGAACTGATCCTAACTCATGACAATCAGTGGCAATAAATTTAATTTAAACTGTAAAATATAGCGTGTGTTTGGATAAAATTTGATTTTGCACGGTTTTTCATGAATTTTATTATTTTTTTTGTTATGGGTTTGCTTTGGCATGTATAGGCTGAGACAATTGGGGTCAGCCGTAATTGCACTCCGTATAATTATTAGATGAAACTGAGAAGGTGTTGCATTATTGTCTCGAGACTCTAAAGTGCATGGTTACTTAAGTGGTGGACGTAGATCTGATGGGATGAATTTTCTGTCAAAAAATCATAATTTACGTGTTAATGCAATGTGTACTTGTACATTGGCAGCCGTTGCCTCATACCAACTCTCAGCAGGAACATTTACAGTACCCGGGATATTGGCACAATTAATTTTCATTTTAAAGACTATTATCCGATAATCGTTCAGGGCCAGTACGCGTATAAATATTAATCATCTACAGCGAATTCCCTCACAAAGGCATTGCACCCTCATGTGATCATGAGTGCTTAATATAGTTAATGTGTTACGTAAAAATAAGATCACTTCGCAACCTACTGAACAAAATAAAGGCCCTTAGCCAAATTTCCTTTAAGAAAGCGAAGCTCTATAGCCATGTGACGAGCTGTCCGGAAGGGTGTATTGCTAGAAATTAAATAGCGAATACTAATCTGATGTAAACTTTTTTCATTTGCCTCATAAATGTAATAAAGTTTGTATTTAGATCACAAGGACTTTCTCGCACTCAATGAGGTTGAGAAAAAGTCACATCTATTTTCTTTCAACCACAAAAAATCAGCTAATTGTGATTATCGAGAAAACTTATATCTCATAGAAAACTTATATCTATGAAGAGAAAATGAATGAAGTGTCAAGGGTTATTAATCTAAAATGGATTTAAAGTAACGCAGTATTGAAGAAGCAACTTGCTGCTGGATTAAAGTGCCTATATCACTTGTGGGATCTTTACGGATTTGAATAGCTTGAAAAATTAGTTTATAAGTTCTACAACTCTTTTTGGTATAATTAAATAGTTTCAAAAATACGTCGGTTGGGGGGACTGGGACTCAGGAATGATTTGCAAACACGCCGTCTTTTATAATGTAAATATGAAGAGTTTCACTAGCGATATAGTTTGCGCTTTTCAAGAAAAAAATGTGGGAACGGTGCGTTGTTTATAGCTGTAGCAACTGGGCGAGTTTTTCTCAAAATATTTTACATTATTGGAAAATCGAAGTAAAATTACAATTTGATTATATCATGTTTGACAAGAACTCGGTTCCTGAGTCCCAGCGGCTCCCGAGCACCACCGAAATTTACCCAAATCGTCATGTTTAGATGCAAATACTTTCAAAACTATTTAACTATATCAAAAAGAGTTGTAGAACTTATAAACTAATTTTTCAAGCTCTATTCAAATCCGTAAAGATCCCACAAGTGATATAGGCACTTTAAGTTCAGAAGGGATAGATTTTATTCCAACTTATATTTGGGTAACGCAGAAACGAAGGATCAAATCTAAGGTTAATTTCAGTGTTTTGCGGAGAATTTGCCTGACCTAACGATAAAATGACGGCATTATATTTATTGTAATTACTTTCCTCCTGGATCTATTCTAAATCATGCGTAACATATACCCCTGTTTTGTTTTGTCGAAGAAGGTTAATTAATCTTATATTATCTTAACATTTCAGAATACGGTCAATTGATAATTAATTTTATGCGCTTCACTATACAATGAATCCTAAGCTTTTATTTTGTAACCAATTGGTTTTTTTACCCTATAATAATGTTTTTCAGGAAGATCTGAAGCGTGAAAAACGCATTTGTTTAGGCCAATAGATCACGGTTTGTTCGTCATGAAAAAAAGAACCATGCAGCGCCATTCACCGAAACCTCAAATTTGTATTAGAAGAAAGCTTTTGGTTTCCTCCCACCCTTCAAAAAACTTCTTCACAATACACTATACATTTGTGGTGAATTTTGTCAATATTTCAAAACGTGAAACCTGTTGCGATCTCCCACTGGTTTTGGACACACGTCGTTAAAAAATTATTAACAGAATCGGTCCACGGGCATAACGGGTACATATAGATGGAGCTTCATAACATAATAGAACTTCATGTAGAAATAGCAAGGTGACTTTTATACCTGTACAGCTTGTCCCATTTCCATTATATCCAGGTTTACATACACAAACGTACAAACCATTAATTTTTGTGCAGTTTGCATAGGGAGCACACGGGGCTCCAGAACATTTATTGGTATCTTTAAAGGAAATAGAACAATGTATTAGCAGTTTATGATTAATATTCTATTAATTTTGTACTATTTTCTTCATTTTTGTGGTGTAAGTCACCAATATTTTCATGCACACATTCCTCTCCTCAGAAATAACGAATCGTCAAATTCCAATAGCAAAATACTGATCCTGCTTTCACCTAAGGGATCAAATAACCCGATCAAATAATAGATTTTCCAGTTATAAAAGCTATCCAATTTGACCATTAATAATATCTGATTATTACAGAAAATGTTGGAGAGATTTTTCAAGTAGAATAAGAATAAATTTTGTATAATAACTACAGTGAAACATGCAATTTGATGCAGGATCAGCATGAGGAATTCACGGGAATTGAAAAGCACTCGCGGGAAAAACGAGTTTAATGGAAGCCAGGCTAGAGCTAGGGGAAATTATACATAAAAGACTTCTATAATAATAAAAGTTTATCACGAGAATTTCCGTTCTCTCATAAAGAAAATCTCGTAGAAACGAATGTGGTAAATTTTTATCTGAGAAATTTACAGGTAATAGTAAGAATGTGTGACATGAAGATAAAGTTGAAGCACAATAAGAATATAACTGTAAAACAACTTGAGATGAAAAAATTTAAAATTTCGTACCATTTGTGTCCGTGTAGTAGAGAACAAACCCTTGTTTCTGAACACTACTGTCCGTATGAAATACGATTAAGAGCTTTGAACCAGATGATACCAGTTTTCTTGGCAATTGCTGCCCACAGAACCTCCCCAGTTTTTTTGCATACATAGAATTACCATCATAGACGTCCAAATAATCATATGGACAACTCGAACCGCCTTCCAGCTATAAGTTAAGAAATTCCATATCGAAGTTGTAGTACCACCACTACAGAGGTTTTAGCTATTATAGAGTTTTTTTTAATCACTGAATAAATATTTAAACTTTTAATATGTATTTAAAATATATTTGCTTAAATAGGATCGTTCAATTTCGTCAAGGCATTATTTGTAATTGGGACCATTTAGTAGAAACAATGTGCACTCCTTTCATAAGATTTAAAAATAAGGTTTGTTAAAAGTTTCATATAAGAATAATTCTAGGCGATGATTGGAGAAGATTATTGCTTTGGAACAATGTTGAGAATTTAGAGTGATCATTAATTTAATTAATATCATTTGTAAACAAAGGGCTTGATTATAATCTTTGACGACGTTTACCGCGCACAAACTCATAGGGCAAAAATATTATAGCTATTTACTATCGAAGTTGAAAAAGACATATTACGAAGGTATAGTTAAATGTGACGTACCGAGAAGAATGAAAATTGCAGTAAAATATATGTCGCATTTGTACTAGAAATAATCCAAGTACAATTCGTGTTGCTCGGGTAATCGTTAGGATAAAAAGGCTTATGAGTATGCCAGGAGTAAACAGATAAATATCACCACATGAACCTGAATAAGAAAAGCAAATAAAGTAGAACGGGTAAAACTCCATTTGCTGCAAATAATGAGTTATGTGAAATTTTTTTCATATCTAAGATATTCACTACGCAGTACATGAGTTATAATGGTACCTCTATTGGGATGTGGTGTGGTGGAGACTATAAAAGAAGAAAAGAAAGAGCCTTATACCGCATTAACTATGTGTGTATAATATAATTTATCAGATATTTAATCTATTCTTTTCAGTGCTCACCCCATTACTGAAATATTATTTTAAAATATTTTTAATAAATCCATTTTCTATTGTTTCTTAAAATAACTTAACTTTATAACATAATGTTAAAAAGTTACCGTGCGTTATGTTTGTGGTGTTACCTGCAACAAAAAAAAGATCCGTTTAATTTCAACACTTTATGAATGAGAGATATAATACCATTTTACCAATTCTTTTCAATGCACAACAGATGTTATTAACATACCATTGCAAGCATTAAATGACATATTGTGAGCCAAATGTGCAAAATGATTGAAATTGTGGAGTAGGAACACGTGGTCTTTTGCCGGAGAGGAAGCCATTGTTTTGAGCTCTAAAACATCGATTCCTGAACCAACTCCAATTGAGAATATTACGACACCCATGTTTTTCAGTTGTTGAGAAGGATAATAAACATTTCCACTGCTTTTTCCATCAGTGAAAACTATTAAAATTCTCTTTATTCCTAAATATTATAATAGCAAGCATAAGAACAAAAATACGGAAGTTTTTCAAAAACGGCTTTTGCTGATCTGCGTTCGTTTAATATGTTATATATGCATGACAACGCAGTTTCCCTGTATTTTGCTGGTGGGCAAATTTATCGTCCCATCGCAAAATTCGTTGATTTGGTATGAGTGACACAGGTTTTGATAAGTCCGGTGAAAAATGGTAGAGTTTTGCCGGCCAATACAATTTAATGAAATAAACTTTTGTACTTAAAACTAGAAGTAAATAGTCGACATTCTTTTGAAAGTCTCGTTTCTCGAAATATTGATTTAAAACTAAACATACAGTAATGTCCAGAAATAACCTATTACAAAAACAGCGGTTAACCTAGGTCAAACCTCGGTCTTATAGCAGATGAAGCGAGGTCAGACCAATGTCAAACCGCGGTGAAGCAGACGTTAAAGCTCGGCTCGGTTGGACAGGCATTTCCTAAGGGTTTTTTTTTAATTGGTTATGGTATTGTAGTCCTCAACTATTTCTAACATTTCGTTCGGAGGCGAACGGCCACTGCGATGAAATTTTTTCCCTTACGGTCGTCTGCGGTTTCTATCGGTCGACAGCAACCGAACCGCGATCGAACCGCACAACCGCAGTGTTATAGGTTATTTCTGGACAGTATTGTATACTAGGCCAAAGAAAGAACATAAGTTGAAATTGGTATCGGAATTAATTTGTTTACAGCCTATAATATTTGTAATATTTCAGCTTACATATAATAATAGTACGAGATTTTTTAAAATTAAAAGTAAAATGATTAAAGATGATTTAAAGTCCGTTCTGAGCATATATTCTGCGCATAACAATGTTTGTTTAGGTTGGTTATATAATCTTTACATGACGTATGCGTCGTTATAATTTTCTTATTTTCTTCTCGCTCGACCGGCTGTGATCTGTGATTAATATGCTTATTTTATATTATATTTTGAAAAAAATATTGTTATATTTTGAAGAAAATATAAAGCGAAGCTTGTAAATAAACCGGCCGTTATTTAAAACGTTATATATTTGTAATTGTAGGACAAGCGAGAAGGTAGCGTCTGTAGCAACGAGAAATAGCCTCGCCATTTCCGGCCTCATTCAACAAATAAATTCTTGGAGCATTCCTTTCAGCATAATATAATTAATATTGCTATTTCTAGCAGCCTTATGATAAGATAAGTTATCTTCGTGACTCGCAATTCGAGCCTCTTCGCCTTGCCGGCCCTTGCGACATAAAATAAAATAATTGTGCTCCCGAACTGCCGTTTGTAATACAACGCACTAATATCGCATATCATTAACATTCCAAAAGTTGCTCCCCCACTGATGGAATGTGTTGATGCGCGGAATATATGCGCAGAACGGACTTTACCTCATCTTTAATAATTACAAAATCAAATGATCAAATACCTGAAATCCTAGCACCATTCCGTGTATCAAACATATCTATATATGCTTTTGTTAAAGCCCTTGCGGTGTTCGTTCCCCCTCCGCTGTATGGAATGTTATCTATTGCCAAATAAAGATCTTGTCGCGTTTTGAATATTCGAGAAAATCGAAAATGTAATGTTGGCCATGTCGCGTATGTTATCACAGACACTCTTGTTTCGTTTGGAGAAATTTTGAAATAATCCGTAAAATCTTTTAAAAACGATTTGCTTTTGTTAAAATTATCAAATCCAATGCTGCCAGAACTGTCCATTACAAACCCAAGATCGATCTTTTTCGTGCAGATTGTTACGTTTCTACCTATAAAACGTGATAGATAGCATTAAGACAACACATTAATAGCACAGTTACAGTGGCCATGCACCGAAACGCTAAAAGATGCAGGAGCATATCTAGATGGTTATTATGGTGTTATATTTATAGATTAATGTATATATTTAGTTTAATTGAATAGGTGACCTTAGAATATGACCTCGGACCTCAAATAGAATTCGTCCTTCGGCTTCGTGCAATTTTGAGGTCTTTGAAAAACTCACACGTGCATGTTACATATATCCAAATTGAACTCGAAACCATACTATTACTCATAAAAATAACCCGTTCTGAGGTCAGAATACATTTTCTAGTTAAAAAGGCTCTCCAATTTGTCTGCTAATAATGTCAGATTATTACTGACAACGTAAGCAGGGATTTTTCAACTAGAAGAGGAATAAATTTTCAATGACCATGTAAATCTGCCAAGGTTTAGGGGAAATTTTATATAATAAAAGAAATTATGACACGTTATATAGGCAAAATCTCGTAGAAAAAACGTGGTAATTTTTCATCTGAGAAATTTACAGGTAATAGTAAGAATGCGAGACATGATAAAAAAGTTGAAGCACAATAAGAATATAACTGTAAAACAAACTTGAGCTGTAACTATTCGTACCAGTTGTGCTTGTGTAGTCGAGAACAAACCCTTGTTCCTGACCACTACCGTCCGTATGAAATACGATGAAAAGCTTTGAACCAGATGACACCAGTTCTCTTGGAAATTGCTGGCCACAGAATCTCCCGAGTTTTTTTGCATACATGGAATTACCATCATAAACGTCCAGATAATCATATCGACAACTCGAACCGCCTTCCAGCTATAAGTTAAGAAATTTAATGTCGAAGTTGTAATTCAACCATTTAAAATGTTTCTGGCTCAATCAATTAATTTGAGTGTTTGATATGAACTAGCTGACATAAATTTTACAGACTTTATTTGACAACCGTTGAAAATTTTGCACTGAAGAAAGATAATTATAATCAGTGGCGTAACTGGAATGATAATTAGGAGGGGGGGGGTGTGTGTTGATGAATATTCATATAATGCATCCAGTTCTGCAAAACGGATTTCTTTTGTAAGTGCAATAGCTTACATTAAAAATCCGTCAGGGAGAATAAATGTATGAATTAATATATCCCCCCCCCAATGATCGTTTAGTTACACCCCAGAATTAAAAATTATATACGTAAATTTTTGATAAGTTAATTTTTCCGGATGGTTATGTGTATCAAATATTGTACAACAACTGCCTAAAATAGACAAAATACTTCTCGGCGTTTCGGTCTGAGGGCCATAGTCAGTTAAATTAGTAACTCTAGAAGTGGTGCGATACAGCGAGATATCATAGAAAATTGAAGACCAGGGCGGAGGAGCAGGGGGCTGATATTCATATATTCCTGTGAACAAACCGTGAAAAAAATTTAACGTAGATATATAAATATTGGCGCCCTCAGTTAAGGATCTTACACGGCGTCTGGCACTTTAAAATGGATCAAAATGAAATCATTCACAGACACTGTAGTGTTTTTGAATCAATTAAATATTTGTAGTAAAGCAAACGTTGGTTAAATTTTGTTTCAATTTTGTAAAAGAAGGCGTTATTTGTAGTTAGGACTATTTCGTTTGAACAATATGCAATCCTTCCATCAGAGTTCAAAAACAAGGTTGGTTGAAATATTGTTTCATGTAGGAATAATTAAGAATAATAGGCGATGATTTAGGAAAATTATTTCTTCGGAATAAGGTTCAGAATTTAGAGTGATCATTATTTGAATCAATGTTTTTTATAGGCAAAGATTGCTTGATTATATTCTTTGACGACGTTTTACGCCCACTCGCGAAAAATATTACAGCAAAAATAATATACCAATACTATCGAAGATGAAAAAGATATATTACGAAGGTAGCTAAATGTGACGTACCCAGAAGAATGAAAATTTCAGTAAAACATTTGTCGCATTGTTACTAGAAATATTCCAAGTGCAATCCGTGTTTCTTGGGTAATCGTAAGGATAACGAGGACTTGTTAGTCTGCCAGGAGTATACAGATAAGAACTTCCACATGAATCTGAATAAGAAAAAAAGTGAATTAAGTAGCGGGTAAAACTCTAGTTGCTATTTGTTTATACCTAATATTCTATTAATTTTGTGCTATTTTCCTTATTGGTTTTTCGTGGTTTAAGTCACTTAAATGTTAGGAAATTCCTCATCATGCACACATTCGTCTCTGCGGAAATAAGAACCATCACATTCCAATAACACAATTTCAAAAAACTGAACCAGCTTTCACCTAAGAGATCAAAATTGATAACACGTTCTGAGGGCAGAATAGATCTTCCAGTTATAATGGCAATCCAATGAGACGATTAAAAATGTCTGATTATTACAGATGTTGTTGAAAAGATTTTTCAACAAGAATAAGGATAAATTTTATATAACAACTACACTGAAACCCGCAATTTGATGCAGGATCAGGCAAGCCATGCAGGAACATGTAATCCTTCATTAGGAATTTAAAAGCACTCGAAGGATTTTCTTGGGATTCTCAAAATATTGTTTTTTCACTGTAGTTATTTTATAAAACTTTTACCAAGAGTTTTTTCGCGCAAAATAGCGTCATCCATGCATGTATTCGGGATGTTGCTCGACTTTCGGAAAGCGTATAAAAACACTCCCCTGCGGCTCGCAACATCCCTCGTACGTACATGGATCACTCCATCTTGCGGGGAAAACCATTTGGTAATACTTTACTCAAATATATCCTTGAAGCCTGCCTAAGGCTAGAAGAAATCATGAATAAAAGATCTAGAAAATATAACTTATTATATAGCTTGAATGCCATAATATAATAATAAAAATTTCTAACCAGAACTTTGGTTCTCTCATAAAGCAAAATCTCGTAGACACAAATGTGGTAAATTTTTATCTGGGAAATTTACAGGTAGTAGTAAGAATGCGTGACATGATAAAAAAGTTGAAGCACAGTAAGAATATAACTGTAAAATAAACTTGAGCTGTAACTATTCGTACCAGTTGTGCTTGTGTAGTCGAGAACAAACCCTTGTTTCTGAACACCACCGTCCGTATGAAATACGATGAAGAGCTTTGAACCAGATGACCACAGTTTTCTTGGCAATTGCTGCCCACAGAACCTCCCGAGTTTTCTTGCATACATAGAATTACCATCATAAACGTCCAAATAATCATATTGACAACTCGAACTGTATTCCAGCTATAAATTAAGAAATTTCATGTCGAAGTTGTAATTCAACAATTTAGAATGTTTCTGGCTCAATCAATTAGTTTGAGTGTTTGATATGAACTAGCTGACATAAATTTTACAGACGTTATTTGACAACCGTTGAAAATTTTGCACTGAAGAAAGATAATTATAATCAGTGGCGTAATAGAACGATAATTAGGGGGGGGGGTGAATATTCATAGTATAACCAGTTCTGCCATGCGGATTTCTTTGCAAGTGCAATAGCTTACAATACAAATCCGTCAGGCGGAACAGAATGATTATATGAATATTCACCCTCCCCCCACTTATCGTTCTGGTTACGCATCTGATTACAATCATTTTGGTGCTGGGAAAAAAATTTGAACATTGCAAAAAAATGATATACGTAAGTTTTTATATATTGGTGTTTTCGAATGGTTATGTGTTGAATTATGTAATTTAAAAAAAACAATTTGTAAGAACATACAGAAGTAACTTAAGATCAAATGTTGTGTAACAACTGCCTAAAATAGATAAAACACTTCTCGGCGTTTCGACTTGAGGGCATTCGTTAGGAGAGTTAGTAACTCTAAAAGTACTGTGTTTCAGCGAGATATCATAGAAAATTGAACACCTGGGTATAGAAGCAGTGGGCTGATATTCATATATTCCTGTGAACAAACCGTAAAAAATCAATTAAAAAGAAACTGATAATGCTGAGCGTGAATATATAAATATTGGCCCCTCAGTTGAGGATCTTACACGGCCCGTGATACTTTAAAATGGATGAGGTCGAAATTATTCACTGTAGTGTGTTTTGAATCAGTTCATTATTTTGTAGTAAAGAAAACGTTGGTTAAAATTTTTTCAATTTCGTAAAGGCATGGGTTATTTGTAATTAGGACAATTTAGTTGGAACAATATGCAATCCTTTCCCCAGATTTAAAAACAAGATTGGTTGAAATCTTGTCTCATGCAGGAATAATTAGGAATAATTAATAGCTAGGCAAAGACTTAAGAAGATTATTTCTCAAGAATATTTTTTATTGAGAAAGATTGCGTAATTATAATCTTTGACGACGTTTTCCACCCCCTCCTGAAAAATACTACTGACGGCAAAAATAATATACCAATATACTATCGAAGTTAAAAAAGATATATTACGAATGTATCAAAATGTGACGTACCGAGAAGAATGAAAATTGCAGTAAAACATTTGCCGCACTGGTACTAGAAAGAATCCAAGTACAATCCGTGTTTCTTGGGTAATAATAGGGATGAAGAGGACTTGTGAGTCTGCCAGGAGTATACAGATAAGAATTTCCACATGGATCTGAATCTGAAGAAAAAAAGTCAGTTTAGTAGCGGGTGAAACTCTAGTTGCCAGTTGTTCAGTTATACTTAATATTTTATTAATTTTGTGTTATTTTCCGTCTTTGTTTCTTTGTGGTTTAAGTCACCCAAATGTTAGAAAATCCGTCATCAAGCAATCATTCTTTTCTGCGGAAATAACGAACCGTCACATTCGAATTGTAAAAGGCGGATTCAAAATACTAATCCTGCTTTTACTGTCTAATAATTTATATAAAAGCATTACTTTACTGTGATTGGTTGATTTCAATTAAGTTAATCCTAAACCACAGTGCAAATGTCTGTAACCACAGTGCAGAAATCTGTAATGACAGTGCAATTTTATGTAATTACAATTTTTTGTAGTCACAGAGCAATTTTGTACAATCACTGTGAACCAATTGATCACTTGCGTATTAACTGATGCCCGCTAAAGATGAGGGTAGGAGTCTGTTGGTTGCTTTCGAACGAAATGGCTGCAGCCTGGGCGAGCGATTTGTTCGGAAGAAGAAACGACATCTTTTTGACAACATTTTTCATGGATCCATACCTTTTTTGTGTGGAAAATTACGAGGCTATTTGGCACTGCTCATAGAGAAAATTCGAAGAAAATCTTTGTATTAGTGGCGAAGAAATTTTGTTGCGAAGACATCAAGTTGCCAACACGCTTCCTCTAAATTTCTTCGCGAAAACCTAGGAATAGGAACTAAAACAGGTTTGTTGGCTTTCCCACTTGCGATCGGCTACGTGTTAAAAAAAAATAAGCTCAACCGATAGTTTTTCTCACGGGAACTCAAGGTTATTTGAAAATTATTGTTTTAAAAATGCAATTTTGAGCGTTATGAAAATGATATATATCTTTGCCAAAATTTTGTTCGAATTTACGATTTCAAAGGTCGTAGTCTAGCAAAGTGTTTTGAAGTCGTTCTTGCGCAAAAATATATGTGACTTTAAATTAGTTGCTTGTAGCGATAACACGAAAATATAAGTTGGATATGTTTATCATCGTTTTCTGCTGCGTTTGTCTTCGAGTTGAGGTAGGCTTCCTCCTTTGTGAGTTGTAGAATTAATATTTTGATATTTTAGCTAGAGTATACTCTCTCCTCCGCAGAGGTTTTCGTCGGGTTAGTCGGGTTTGTAAAGGGTTTTAAACCGTAAGAAATTGAAGCGCGGGCGGCGGAACAGCTGGGGAGGGAGATTTATACTAAATTTACTAACGTTTACTTTTTATTTACTTTCTACTGGCGTCATTGTTTTTTTATATAAGCGTCGTTTTTGGACGTTATTGCGATGGAGAGTTGTAATCAGTCATCAGATGACTGTGAGGATGGGGCCGACGACTCTTGCGAGTTCTGAAATCCGATATATTGGACGTATCAATTCAAAACATTTGTCTGGTTTCAGGTACCACAAATTCACGCAATGAATTAATGCCTTCATTTATTATCATATCGCTAAAATCCACGCATTTATGCACCATTCTGTAATGATGCTGAAGGCCATTTATAAAAAACGTGGCTAGGTCTTCGCTACAAAAAATTGAGCAACAAGTCTTTCCGCTCCGCCAAGATACAAGAAATTTCTGCGAGGACATGAATTATTCAAATTTAGAAACGCCATGTTGCCTCTTTGTTCGTGAATTATGGAGATCGCAAGATCGCACGGTTTGAAGCCATATTGCGCCTCAAATCTGGCAGAAGTTTTCGCCACTCTCGCCTTCTCCCCCTCCCCCTCCCCCTCCCCCCCGCTGTTCCGCCGCCCGCGCTTCAATTTCCAAAATGAATTATGTATATATCATTCTAATTATAACAATCCTACCTCAATGAATCTCAATGTTTATACTCTAGCTAAAATATCAAAATATTAATTCTACAGCTCACAAAGGATGAAACGAACCGAAGCCTACCTCAACTCGAGGAAAAACGGCAGCAGAAAACGATGATAAACATATTCAACTTATATTCTCCTGTTATCGCTACAAGATACTAATTTAAATTAACTCAGATATATTTTCGCGCAAAAACCACTTCGAAACATTTTGCCAGACTATGACCTTTCAAATCGTAAATTGGAACAAAATTTTGGCAAAGATATATCATTTTCATAACGCTCAAAATTGCATTTTGAAAACAATAATTTTCAAATAACCTTGAGTTACCGTGAGAAAAAATATCGGTTGAGCTTATTTTTTTTTAACACGTAGCCGATCGCAAGTGGGAAAGCCAACAAACCTGTTTTAGTTCCTGCTCCTAAGTTTTAGCGAAGAAATTTAGAGGAAGCGCGTTGACAACTTGATGTCTTTGCAACAAAATTTGTTCGCCACTAATGCAACGATTTTCTTCTAATTTTCTCTATGAGCAGTGCCAAATAGCCTCGTAATGTTCCACCCAAAAAGGTATGGATCCATGCAAAATGTTGTCAAAAAGAAGCCGTTTCTTCTCCCGGACAAAATCGCTTGCTAATCCCGCAGCCATTTCGTTCGAAAGCAGCCTACAGACTCCTAACGTCATCTTTAGCGGGCATCAGCTAATACGCAAGTGGTCAATTAAATTATATATACTAGAAATACATGCTTGCAGCAACCCCTCGCCATTTCAAACGAAGCAAAATATTTCCTGAGCTAGCCAGACCTAACCTTCAATATTATGAAATGTCCTAAATGTAAAGCTGATAGCTGATGTTTCAAATTTTTCAGAAACAAACACAGTCGTAAAGGTGAAGTAAAATCACCCGTTTTCCTGCTTCTTTCCGTTGCAATAAGTTATAGACTTTCACAGTTTAAGTGAGAGTTAATACTCCATTATAGCTAAACCTTCAAAACATCAAAACAACGCAAATAATATAAATAAGCAGTGAACGTCGAATGTTGTTTTTCGATTCTTAAATTCATGCAGTGATTGCAGTCGACTCTATAAACCTTTAAAATGATATTTGTTATATAAAAACTCCAAAATACACGTTTAAGAACTCTTTTTGAAGGTAAAACGATGATGTAATGCCTTAAATAGTCGGTCACGTTTTCGCAAAATCGAGCAAAACGACATACTGTACCAAGGTCATAAAATGTATTCGTACAGCAAACACGAAAGAAACCTCCAAATAAACAAAATAGACTCCTACCATTTCAAGGATTATAAGCCAGTTCTTCCTTTTCACTGCTAAT